TCATAGTAATCTCTTAATAACTCTTAATTTTGGTGGAATCAGTTGTAATGCCTCCTCCTTCATTTCCAATTTTGAGTCTTCTGTTTTTTTCTTAGTCTAGCTAAAAGTTTGTCAATTTTATTGATCTTTTCAAAACACAAACTCCATTTCATTGATCTTTTCTATTGTTTTTCTAGTCCCTTTCATTTATTTCTGCTCTGATTTTTATTATTTCCTTTCTTCTGCCAACTTCAGGCTTAGTTTGTTCTTCTTTCTCTGGTTCCTTGTGGTTTAAAATTAGGTTGTTGATTTGAGACTTTTCCTCATTTTGAGGCATTTATTGCTATAAACTTCCCTCTTAGTACTGCTTTTCTGCACCCCATAAATTTTATTATGTTGTGTTTTCATTTTCATTTGTCTCAAGATATTTTCTAGTTTTTCTTTTGGTATCTTCTTTGATGCACTGGTTGTTCAAGGGTGTGTTGTTTCATTTCCGTGTATTTGTGAGATTTCGTTTTCCTTCTCTTACTGTTGTCTGGTTTCATTACATTCTGGTTGGAAAATATATTTAGTATGATTTAATTCTTTTTAAATTTGTTAGGACTAGTTTTGTGACCTAACATGTGATCTGTTTTGGAGAATGTCCTTTATGTGCTTGAGAAAACTGTATTCTGCTACTGTAGGCTGAAATGTTCTGTATATGCTGTTAGGTTCATTTGTGAACCTATAGTGTTGTTCAAATCTTCTGTTTCCTTTTTTCTCTTCTGTCTGGATCAGATCCATTATTTAAAGTGAGGCATTGAGAATTTAGGAAATAAAACAAATGAGCAAAGGGGAAAAAAACAGAGAGAGACAAACCAAGAAACAGACTCTTAACTGTAGAGAATACACTGATGCGTAATCGGAGGTGAAGTGGGTGGAGGGATGGGTGAAATAGGTGATGGGAATTAAAGAGTACACTTATCATGGTGAGCAATGAGTAATGTATAGAATTGTTGAACCACTATATTATACATCTGAAACTAATATAACACTGTATGTTAACTATACTTGAATTAAAATTAAAAAATTTTAATTAAAAAAATTAAACATTATTATAAATAAATAAATAAATAAATAAAGTGAAGTATTGAAATCTCCTAATATTATTTGTTACTGTTTATCTTTTCCTTAGTTCTGTCAGTATTTCCTTTCTATATTTCAGTGCTCTGCTGTTAGGTCAGTATACATTTTTAATTGTTATATCTTTTTAGTGAATTGACCCTTTTATCATTATATAATGTCCTTCTTTGTCTCTTTTTACAACATTTGACCTAAAGTCTGTTTTGTTTGTTATAATTATGCCCCCCTCCCTGCTCCCTTTAGGTTACCATTTGCATCAAGTATCTTTTTTTATTCTTTGACTTTCACCCTATGTGTATCCTTAAATGAAAAGTTTCTTCTAGACACATTTAGTGGATCTTGTTTTTTATCCATTCAGCCACTCTTTGCCTTTGACTGGAGAGTTGAATCCATTTGCATTTAAGTAGTTCTTGATAGGGAAGGATTTACTATTCCATTTTGTTATTTGCTTTCTGTCTTACAGTGTTTTTGTCCCTCTTTTCCTCTTTTTCTGTCTGTCTTTGTTTTTTTGGGGGGGGGGTGTTTTTAGTGACATTGATTCCTTCACAATTTTCTTTTGTGTTTGTTCTACAGGTATTTTCTTTGTGGTACCATGGGGCTTACATAAAGCATCTTATAGTTCTAACAATCTATTAATAAACTGATAACAAATTCAATTTCATATAAATACTTTTTGCTTTTACTTTCTCACCTTTACACAGTTTATATTATTGATGTCACAAATCACATTTTTATATCATCTATCCATTAACATATTTTATAGTAATAGTAATTCTTTAATTATTTTATTCCAGAATTTTATACCAGAATTAAAAGTGATTTTTTTTTTTTAAAGATTTTATTTATTCATTTGTGAGAGAGACAGAGAGAGAACAAGCAGAAGGAGAGGCAGAGGGAAAGGGAGAAGCAGACTCCCCGCTGAGCAAGGAGCCCGATGCGGGACTCGATCCCAGGACCCTGGGATCATGACCTGAGCCGAAGGCAGACGCTTAACCATCTGAACTACCCAGGCGCCCTAAAAGTGATTTTTTACACACATCCATTACAGTATTCTTTTTTGTCTGTATGTTTACCCTGACTAGGAAGCTTTATACTTTCTTGTGCTTTTGTGTTTCTGTTCAGGGTCTGTTATTTTTAACTTAAAGAATTTCCTTTAGCATTTCTTACAAAACAGGTCTAGTGGTGATGAGCTTCCTCAGTTTTTTTGTTTTTTGTTTTTCTTTAGTTTTGTTTTCAGATCTGGAAAGGTTTTATTTCTCCTTTATTTTTGAATAACAGTTTTGCCAGACATAGCATTCTTGGTTAGTAGTTTTCCCTTTCAACACTTTGAATATATCTCCCTTCTGGCCTATGAAGTTTTTTGCTGAAAAATCCACTGAAAGTCTTGAGGTTCTTTTACACATGGTGAATTGCTTTTCTCTTGCTGCTTTCTGAATACTCTTTCTGTCTTTGACTTTTGACAGTTTACTTACAATGTGTCTCAGTGTGGATTTCTTTGAATTCACTATGGTTAGAGTTCTATGGGCTTCTTAAATCTGGATGTCCATTTCCTTCCCCTTTCTTTAAGTGAGTTTTTTTTCCTTATTCTCTTTCTTTTTCTTCTGGGACTTCCATACTGTATATATTGGTCTGTTTAATGGTATTTAGTATGTTTCTTAGGCTTTCTCCATTCTTTTTCGTTCTTTTTTCTTTTTTGTTTTTCTGACTGGAAATTTTCAAATGACTTGTCTCTGAGTCCACTGATTCTTTCTTCTCCTTGAGTGAGCCTAGTGTTGAACTGTTCTAGAGAATTTTTCAGTCTAGTTATTATATTTTTCAGCTCCAAAATTTCTGTTTGGCTCTTTTTAGTATTTTCTGTCTCTTTGTTGATATTCTCATTTTATTTGTGCATTGTTTTCTCAAGCTCTTTGAGTAGCTTTATGATGGTTATTTTAATTTTATGTCAGGTACTTCATATACCTCCATTTCTTTAAGATGAGTTTCTGGTGGTTTACTTTGTTTTTTTGTTTAGGCCATGTTTCCCTGTTTCTTCATGTGTCTCATTACTTTGTGGTGGGATTGACACATTTGAAATAACAGCCTCATCTCGTAGTCTTTATGAATCTGCTTTGTACAGCAGAAGACCTTACTAATCAGCCTGACTAGAGATTCTGGGGGACTCTAACCTTCTTTCTGTTAGGGGTAATGTAACTTTTCTGGAGAAGGGATGTATTATATGTAGTAGTAGAAGGAGGATTTTTGGAATCAAGTGGATATAGTCAGACTCTCAATTAGTTTCCACATTCACATCTTCTTCTCTTACTATACTTCTTTGTTTAGTATGAGCCCTTGTCTTAGTCCAGGCCCTCTTTGGGATTCTACTGGGCAGTCCTTTACTAGTGTTGGAAATCAAGATTTAGAGTGCTTGAATGATATTCCCATGGCCGTGCAGCCAGTAAGGAACAGAGCTTTATGTACAGCCTATCTGGGACTTAGGAACCTACAGTTTTAAATAAATTGCATTAATGTATGTCTATTACTGCATTTTAGCTTCCTTTGTTTCCCTTTTGCTGTAGCTTCTCTCTCTGCTACCATGGAGGTCACTGTAGCTGCCCATAGTAGCTAATGCTTCCATATCCTATCTCTTAAAACCCTTGTCACCAGCTTTCTCACTGGAACCCTTTACCCTCTTAGAGGCCTAGTCCAGATGAGCCCAGCTAAGGAATCTTCTAACCTTCCTTAGTAAGAGAAGGAAGGATGCTTGTTTGTATTGCCCAAGTCAAGTAGAGTTTCTTGCTGTAATAGACACTCAATATTCTTTGAAGCATAAATGAATGGTGTAAAGACCAAATTCCTGATGTAGAAGACACAAGAGAGACTATTGCTTAGGCAGAGGGATTTACCAAGTAGAAACTGTATGATATTTTTCTATAGAAATAATGTTAGTAATGGTAGTTAGATTCTATAGTTTATTAATACCATTAAAACAGCAGTCCAACTAACTTTTATTATGCAGTATATATGGATTAATGTGGGAGCCCAACCACCATTTTTATAAAATGCTTCTATAAGAAAATGCTTTCTGAAGGACAAATAGTTTATGAATGAATTTTTTGGAAACAAAACCATTTGTAAGTTGAAGTTAACATCTAAGAACATTAATCTGTTGATAATCTTTGCTTGTGTTTCCTTCTGATTTATTTATAAAGTTATAAAGAACCATGAGAGCAAAAATTGCTTTCTATTACATAATAATACCACTGTACCCAACTCTTGGATTTTCTCTTTGTTCTTATGCCCATCCAGCATTCATTATGTTACCTTCTATGTGGTAGGTACTCAAAAAGCTTTTGTGTATTTATTTATTTTTTTTAATAACACTGTCACTCATCACAAAGAATAGTATATCCTGAGATACCTAGGGTTCTTCAACCTAATTTGCAAAATTATAAATGACCTTTAGAGTACAGATTAAGTAACTACAACTTTAATTGATATAGTTGTATAATATTAATAGAAATAAGTAAATTATAATAGTAGATTTGGATGTCTATCATTTTTTTCCATTTAACTTATAGTTTAGGGGTAGATTGTCATGGCAAAGCCTAGAAGCCATCCTGGTTTCAAAGGCTCCAAAAGCCTTGTGCTCTAACCTACACTTTAAGAATTTCATCTCACTGAGATAGAAAGGGAATGACCTCTTTCATTAGAGAAAATACTGTAGAGTAGTCTAATGTCCTGACAGTATATCTATCCTGCTTTCTGGAAATATTGTGTCTTGGAGTTTAGGATGACCTAACTACTTTTCTCTCAGATGGAGAAAAGTTATGACTGGGGAAGAAGAACCCATCATACATTTGTTTTGAGTATAGTGACAAAAAGCTACTTAGTTCACAAAAGACACTATTTTGCCTTTTCAGGTGTAACTGTGTAGAACCACATAATCCTAGCAATGATACATTGAAGGAATGGAGGGAGTCCAATATTTCTGCCTCTGACATAATTTGGGAGAATCTAACTGTATCGGTAAGTGAAACTTACAGGCTTTTGTTGACATTTTGAATGAATTATTGCCACTAAAGCAATAATATTTTGAATGGTTAATTATTATAAAAGTCTTATCTTAATTTTAATTTCATTTTTAGGTGTTCATTAGTAAACTGGGGTTTTCTTTCATTATTAAGTTTTACTAATAGTCGGCCTGAATTACTCTAAAATCAATCATAATATGACAAGTTTAACTGAAGGCACATTAAATAAGAGTGGTGTTGACCTAAATGAAACCATATGGCAGAACTAAGTCGGCCTTCTGTGTAAAGAACCCAGGACGCTTTTACTTCACTCTGTAATACTGCTCTAGCTGTTTGGAATGTGCTGAGGGGGAGGGGATGTTTGTTAATATTTCAGTGTAAATATTGAAGTCTTTAGGAAGAACAAAATTCACTATTAACAAAATTCTGGCACCTTCCTCAGGAAGGGCTTTCTTTCTTTCTTTTTTTTTTTTTAAGGATTTTTATTTATTTGACAGAGAGAGAGAGAGAGAGAGCACAAGCAGGGTGAGCAGGAGAGGGAGAAGCAGGCTTCCCGCTGAGCAGAGAGCCCAATGCGGGGCCTGATCCCAGGATCCTGGGATCATGACCCAAGCCGAAGGCAGACACTTAACCAACTGAGCCACCCAGGTGCCCCAGGAAAGGCTTTCTTACTTACATTTTCTTCTTATCTCCCTCTCAAGAAAAGGAATGGCAAAGATTTTTTCCCTATCAGGGTTAAATCCTGTACCTAAAAATTTTGGCTCCCTCTGTCCTGTGATTTCTTTTTTCTATCTCCTCATATATGCATTTCTCAATTCTTCCTAGTATCTTATAATGTTTGTGCACCTCTTTTTCCATCTATATTTGCATCCTTCTGTTCAATCTAATCTCATAATTGGAGAAATTGAATGTTCTGATTTTAGTAAGTATTAGAATCTGAATTATTCTAGTTATGAACATTACAATCTAGAGCTCCTGCCACTTTACTTACCTGTATAAGCTCAAATCCCATTATAACCATCAGCATAACTCTAAATGAATTCTAGTTCATTTTATGAAACACATACTATTTTAGCAAGTGATCCAGTTAGTGGAACATAGAAATCTTTTTCTGTTGTACAAATATCACAAAACTCTAAGTATGATTTTTATAAGAGCATTTGACTTATTGCCTATTTTCTCAATTTTTCCCATTAAATGTTTTCTTTCAGAATGAAAATCAAATTACTTGCCCTTAGTTTAAAATTCTATCTTAACCTATATTTTATGACTTTTTTCTTATCCTAATCATTTTCTCTAGAATAAGCTTTCGTTTATTCTTGTTTTCTTCTGTTATAATTAATATTTATTATGTTCCATCTATTTGTCCCTAAAAAATAACATTAACAGACTGTTTCTTTTCAGAGAGCCATTTAAATGGACCAATAAAAGAAATGTTGAGCAAGAAAGAATGCTACAGTTATTCAGAATCTAAGCATGGGATCATGGTTGATCTATTCCACAGTGTATCTTCCATTTACATTCCCTTTGTGTAAACTGTAGAGATAATATGTCTAAAGAGCCTCTTGCTTGTGCACCTCATCTTGGTGTCCCCTTCAATGCAGAAACCCAATAATCCCATCTCTAGGTTATTTAACATGATAATTTATTCTATGTGTTATATATTTCCTTAATAATTTACTGTTAAATGATAGTATTTATTCTATGTGATGGCAAATCCTTAATAATAAACTTCCAAAACACTCATAGCACAAGTGATCTGGCTAGTCATGAATTAATTTTAGATGTTAAAAGTTTTAGGGTCAAACAGAGTATAGTAAAAAATATTTTGCAATCAAAGCAAATCTTGCACTTCTTTTTTATTTTTAAGTTCTGTAGTAGGTGTTAACATTCTGGCAGAAATTTTCATATTATTTTTCATTAGTTAAAAGCAGTTTTTGCAATGGAAAATTGCTAATCTTGACCAGAAATAGCCTTTATCACCAAAGGGAATGCTACATAATGAAAAAATCTTGTAATTTTTAAGTCAATGAGGACCATTAAATTGTGCTCTTAATTATTATGCTGGGTTTTTTCCCCAGCATAATCATTAGCATTTTATTAACAAAACACTGTGCTAATGGCTATTATAACTGGTTTTATAAAAATGGTGATAGAACATTTACATATTATTCATTTGAAAAGTTTTTATTGAATTGTTACATATCTCATGAATTATAATTTACACCTTGCTAACTCAGCAAGAGTGAAGAATTTTAGCTTTCTTTGATTCTCCCACACTGCTATATGCATAGTAAGTATTCAATAAACATTTAATGATTGTTTTGAAAAACAGTTTCATATCACAAATTTACTATTTAATGCAAGTGTTTTGTTTTGATTCATTTTGTTTTCCAGCTTTTTTGAGGTATGTTTGACAAATAAAACTTGTATCTATTTGAGATGTATAACATGATGTTTTGATGTATGTATAAATTCTGAAATGATTACCACAATTAAGCAAGTTAACATACCCATCACCTCACATAGTTACCTTTTCCTTTTTTTCCCATTCTTCTTCTCGCTCTCTCTCTCTCTTTTTCTTTTTTTTTTGGTGAGAACCATTAAGATCTACTGCCCTAGCAAATTTCAACCATATAACACAGTATCATTATTCATAGTAATCATGTTATATATTAGATCTTCAGAATTTATTCATTCCCCATTACTAAAGCTTTGGGCCCTTTAACCAGTATTTCCCTATTTTCCCTTCTTCGTCTCCACCAGCCCTTGGTAAACACCACTCTGCTCTTTACTTCTATGAGGGTGACTTTTTAGATTCCACATATAAGTAAAATCATGAAGTATTTGTCTTACCATGTCTGCCCTTTTTCACTTAGCATAATGTCCTTCAAGTTCATTCATTTTTTTTGCAAATGACAGGATTTCCTTCTTTTTTAAGGGTAACTGATATTCCTTTGTATATTTATACCACATTTTCTTAATTCATTCATCCATCTACAGAAATATAGGTTGTTTTCATATTTTGGCTATTGTGAGTAATGCTTAACTCAGGTCTTTTGTGGCAAGCTAGAATATGTAAGTTTCTCTTATATAAATAAATAAATGTATTTAACAAAATCTTAAAATCAGTCATTACAAGGAATCCCTAAGCAAGGTTTAAAATATTCACATGCAATTAACTAGCAATTGTCTCAGAATTACATATTTAGCTTGTACATATATAAGGGGGAATATACTAATGCCAACTTTAATTTCTTCTTATTAACAAAATAAATATATTTTATTTCTTACTGAACTAAATTTTTGTAAACTTACAAAACTGAAACTTAGAATGTGTTTGAAGAATAATTAGTAGAAATGAGTTTGTCAACAATCATTTTTTAAATTTTTGTATGTGAAACCATATGTTAGATTCAAAAAAGAGAACAGAATTTAGATTTGGTTTTCACTCCTAAATCTTAGGACTGGTTCATGTGTGTGTGTGTGTGTGTGTGTGTGTGTGTGTGTGTTAGGGGTAAAACCAGAAAATAAATGTAGAATTTTGTAGGTCACAATTTTTCTTTTTAAATAACATACTGCCCCCCACAAAGGAAGAAAAAAACCCACCCTTTTCAAATTTGCTTTGAATTAAAGTAACAAGGCAAGCTACTGGCAATTTATTATAGATGCAAGACCTAGCCAAGTCCAAGGAATATTTAGAAGACTTTTATATCTGCACAAAAGACCGAAGACAGCCACAAATCTACAAATGATGTGTTTGCAGTGGAGCTTCTAGCTCCTCTTTGTGTTTTGCCATTCTACTTAACCATTACTTTGCTTAATGATTGCTCTACTAGCATCTCTGGACAGGGGCAAGAGAAAAGACTAAAAATGCAAGGATTCACTTTTGATGCTTTATTTTTTAAGAGTTTTGAGAGAAGGAAAATAAAACCATAATTATGGCTGGGTAAATGTGGTTTCTTTGGTCTTTTAATTAACCAAGTTATTGTGCTCTGTCTTAGCTTAATATGGATAACTGGAACTCAACTTTAGCTTGCAAGGAAAATATTTGGGGCTAGATTAAAAAAGGGGACAATTCTTTTAGATAATCATAAGATAAGCTAACAATATTTTTCAAGAATCCTAGCCTTAGGGGTAGCTGCCCTAAACAGATTTTACTTGTTGTTGGTTTGTTTTTAGATAAAAATGTGGCTATCTGTGATCTATTCTAAAATCTTTTGAAGGTACAGAAGCAGAAGGATCCTCAATAAATTCAATTTCTCTTTAGGTCCAGAATATCTCAAGTACTACTTACTAATGAGGTCACCAGATCACTTAAATCATGATTTTCTCTTTTGAAAAAAAAAAAAAAAAAAAGTAATACTTTAGTAATCTAATCTTTGATATAAAATAAGAGAAACCAAAATGAGTTTAAAAGAGAATTTTTTATTTCATTTCAAAATATTAGTGTTTTAAAATGCTCAGTTTTTCTTGGAGAAAAGAAATTTTTTTGCCTTTGCTGCCACCTCATGGCTAAGGTAGTAATTAGGATGATCCTTCAGGGGCTTATAAAAATATATATCAGGAAAAAACCAAAAAACGAGAAGTCATAATAAATATGAGCTTTGCCTTGCTCATGTAGTAATTTCCTCTCTTTTGTTCTGTAATCTAAATTTGAGCCACATCTTTGACTCCCAATTTTATTCTACTAAGAATGTATCATGGTTTTCTCGTTGCTTTCTCACCTTTCTTGATAGCTTTTGGATGAGATAATTCCACAAAATTACTGTTCTTCTTTAATGTGCAATAATATTCCCACCGTAGGCACCATGTTTGTACCAAAGCTCTGCTGTCCAGCAGCGGTGAGGCCACAGCAAATTACTTAACTTCCCTCTGTCTCAGTTTCCTCAGACAGGAAATAGAAATAATGACATCTCCCTATTTCATAGGGTTGATGTGGGAATTAATTAAGATGATATACTTAAATGTCTTGGTGTAGTGTTGACCCTAGTAACCACTCACTATCACATATGTCATATTTCCAATAAATCTAGTGTTAGGAACTTAGAGGATATGAGGTTAAATATACATTGATTGGTAGATCAATTAGTTATATAGATTTAAATTTAATTTGAAAAAAGCAAAAATTTTAAAAGTGGTTCATGTTCAATTTGAACATAATATAAATCTCCAATATTGCTCACTACCTATCCAAATAGAATTCATAAAGCTTACTCAGATGTCTATTAAGTCGTTGAGAGCCATAGATGAGGAGCTTCAACATCTCAACTACAGTTGATCTTAGACGTTAGTTTTCTGAAAGAAATGTGTCCTTTCCTTTCTTAACTAGCTCCATTTGTTTTACTTCCTCTGGCAGGAATGCAAATCATTGCATGGAGACTACATTGGACGAGCCTGTGGCCACGATCACCCATATGTACCAGATGTTCTGTTTTGGTCGGTGATCCTGTTCTTTTCCACAGTTACTCTGTCAGCTACCCTGAAGCAGTTCAAGACTAGCCGCTATTTTCCAACCAAGGTACTTAGACTAGAATTTTCCTGATCCAAACATAAACCAACATAAAGCATGTGATAGAGTCATATGTGTTTTAAGACAAAAGAAATAGCAATTGCTGCCATCAAAGGAGCCACTAAAAGGCTGTGTGTGTGTGTGTGTGTGTGTGTGTGTGTGTGTGTGTGTGTGAAGGAGCTGCCAGGTTGGGAGTGAGGTGCGGGGAAAGAGGTGAAGAGAAATCATTTTGTGATACAGGTGCTAGGACTGCACATGCCCTCGAAGCTTTTATGCTAACTTCAGATCCCAAAGATAAACTCCCACCCTCCCACTTACGCTTTTGGAAATCCGAAGCCCACACTGCATTCCTGATTGTCACTTTCTTGCCCAGTGAACAGTGGGAGCTATTCCAGCCTGACAGATACCTCCTAGGAGCCACAGTTACATTCTCTAATTGGGAAAGCCCCTGCAAGACTCATTGGAACACTATTCTCTTTTTCATTTTTAAAGTGTCAGTCCCTCCCCCTAACCCACCACGTTTACATCTGCATATTTGGAGAGGAAAGTAAACAGAGAAACAGCTTAGTTCAATATTTAACACTGCAAAGTAACACCTATAATGTCTGACTCAGCCAAAAAGAAAAAAAAAGAAAAAAGAAAGAAAAGGAACAAGAAAACAAGCTTTTTAGGGATGAGCTAAAGATTATGATCAAAATTCTACTCTAAGAAAATGTTTTAAGAACTGTTTCTTCCAGAGAAAACTTCTGTTTTTGTCACCTCTTCCTTCCCTAAGGCGGAAGATTAATTCCTTCCCCTCCCAAAGCTCAATTTGATTGATACAAATTTTTTTTGGTAAGTTGAAACAATAATCTCCTCCATTTTGTGTGGGTGTATGTGTCATAAAGTCATCCTAATAGAAGCCATACCTAGTTGATGTTTGTAATAAGGATTTTTTTTCTCAAAGATGGCTTTATAAATGAAAAATGGCTTTAAAAACTGGCATACACTTATCTTGATGAGCACTGAGTAATATACAGAATTGTTGAATCACTATATTGTACACTTGAAACTAATATAACACTATATGTTAACTATGCTGGAATTAAAATTTAAAAAAAAAAAGAAAAAATATCTGGCTTACACAGAATAACTTTAAAATTTCCCCCCTCTGTTGTACACATTCCCTGCTGCCATACTTAACATCCCAGATAAACCAGCCAAAATATTGTGCTTCTTCAATATAAATAGATTCTTTTATTATGCTTTAGGTTTATCATATTAAAATGTTACCTGTGGGAGACAGAATCCTAAAATTCAGCCAGATTCTGGCCATGCAATCTTATTCTGTGTTGTAAATATTCACACACTTGAGCTCATAATAAACTTACATTTTAAAAACTGAAAACAACGCAATCACCATTGTAGCTATTACATAATGCCTCATTCTAGAAAGGTTGAGTGCATATCCATCTTAATAACAGAATACATAAGTATATATTAAGGTTCTGACAGAGCTAATGATAATATTATAGTAAGTATAAAATATAATATTATGATACTGTGTCATAAACTATAAATTGTGATTCTGGATTATGTTCTTGAGTATTCCTTACTATTTATAGTTCTTTAAGTGACAAGTGTTTTCATTATTTTTAGGTTCGATCCATAGTGAGTGACTTTGCTGTCTTTCTTACAATTCTGTGTATGGTTTTAATTGACTATGCCATTGGGATCCCATCTCCAAAACTACAAGTACCAAGTGTTTTCAAGGTGAAGTTATCATACCATTTATAATTTATTTCTCCATCTCTAGGTCTAATCTTCATTTAGATGATGGCTATAATCCTAGTACTTGAGGTTTTCATGAAAATATAAGGAATATAGATTAATAGAGCATTCATTAAAAGGCCCACAACATGGCTAAAATTTTGGTCTAATATTAAAAAGAAAAAAACAGAAATGGAATCTAGAGGCCACTTGAAAAAATTTCCTGTCAATTATTCCATTAAGAATATCCATATACAACACTCCTGAAAGATAAAGAAGCATTTTGAAAGTAAAGGAAAATGCATTATCTTGATGAAAAATTGCACAGTGGATAGGGCTTTGGAAAAGATAAAATTAGGTCTGGAATAGAATTTTGACCATGTTACTAACTAAGTGTGTAACCTTGGTCCAGTTACTTAACCTCTTTGAGCCTCAGTTTTCTCACCTGTCAAACGGGACTGGGAGGTCCTCAAAGAATGTCAAAATGAATTCCTTTGGGACTCATCTCAGGCACCGGCAATGTTTAGAACCAATCCCGGAGCTCCTGATATGACCAAGTGTCTTTTTGCCATTTTCACATAATGACCTGTGGACACATCTAAAATAAGAGTTATATACAGTTGTCAATGTGCTATTTATAAATGTAAATAAATTTGCCAACTGTAAATGGTAAATATTGATATTTTATGTACTATAGGTATTAATTAAGAACATAGATTTTTGAGCCAGTCTGTCAGAGTTTAAATTGTTTCCACCACTTACCACCTTTGGGACCTTGGGCAATTTACTGACCCCGCTATGCCTCGGTTTTACTATCTGCACCTTCTTTAGAGTGTTGTGAAGAAAAAACGAGTTAAAATATTTAAAGTGCTTAGACTGGTGACTTGTATCTTATAAATGCTTTGTAAATATGACTATTATTATTAAGTATAGCTCATTTAGCATATCAATTTATAATTAGGGCTTTCCTGGTAGCATCTGTAAGACATAATTTAATTAGGTATTCATTAATCCAGTTACTAACTATATACATTGTTTTATTTCTTGCAGCCTACCAGAGATGATCGTGGCTGGTTTGTTACACCTTTAGGTCCAAATCCATGGTGGACAGTAATAGCTGCTATTATTCCAGCTCTGCTTTGTACTATTCTTATTTTTATGGACCAACAGATTACAGCTGTCATTATCAACAGAAAAGAACATAAGCTAAAGGTATATTTCAACATCCATTTTAATGTAAATCATTGTGGCTTAACCGACATTGATTGATGTTCATTATACTTTACCTGCACTCTCTAGTCATTTATACGGTGAAATATTAATGTTTTCAGGTTTGTAATTTTTATTGTCTATATTCATGATGCTTTGTCTCACAATGAGCTTAAAATTAATTTTTAATTTTTTAATTAATGTATTTATAGCACTTGGCTGAGCCTAAACTCCGAGACCTTACTTCCAGGACTTAAAATAATACACTTTGCAGAGGTTGTAACTTTCTTTACCATGTTTAACATATTTTAATGAAATAACAGTCTATTCTGGTGAAGGGCAGCTTTACCAATTTGTCTTGTATATACGATTCCTCTACTTGTCTATTTGACTCTAAGTATGCCTATTAGATTGCATTCATTATTGGAACAAATTATATCTTCTCGTTTGGTTTAGTTATTCATCTGTCCTCAATGACTATGACAACAAAACCCGGCCATAAATGTTAGAGTTTGTAAGTGATAATTTGTTGAGTTTTATGGCAGATTTCAATACTTTTTTCACAAACTAAGGAATAAATATGGATATATCTTACGTATTATATTCTGACCCTGCCATTTTACAATTGTGAATAATCAAAGTTGTTCACTGGTGTGCAATATTTCTGAGATATTCAATGTGAGCACTATCACTTACAAAAATATGTTAAATGAAATCCGTGATATCAATGAGTGGTCAAAAATAATCCAAATCAGGGACACCTGGGTGGCTCAGTCAGTTAAGCATCTGCCTTTGGCCCAGGTCATGATCCTGGGGTCCTGGGATCGAGTCCCGCATCGGGCTCCCTGCTTAACGGGAGCCTGCTTCTCCCTCTGCCTGCCTCTCCCCCTGCTTGTGCTCGCTCTCTCTCTCTGATAATAAATAAATAAATCTTTAAAAAAATAATCCAAATCAAATCTTCTAAAAGCAGAATATGTACAATTAATCAAGTTGTTTTGTTCTGCTATCCTGAGATAATCCCTAGCTATCTTCATATCCTCTTTAAATTCTAGGGAAAGGCTCCTTTTCAGAGCAACAGAAATCATACTTTAAAGAATTTTACAAGTATGTTTGTTAGAAGGATTAAACAATCTCTGATTGAGCTATTTGCTGGAAAATAGTAATGGCATTAACACATAAGAAACCACAATTATTTCTAATAAATCTTACTAAAAAGGAATTTTATGTATATGTTGGAGGAGAATGTGTGCCTATCTGAAAACAAAGAGCATTCTTCATTCTCTTTATAGAAAGTAACTCAAGTGCTCAAAACTTTTTCTAAAAGGAGTTTGTTCAATTCACTTTTTGCTTTTGTCAAATAAAATTCTTAATTATGTGGAATTTAGGAAACAAATGAGCAAAGGGAAGAAAAGAGAGAGGGGGTCGCCTGGGTGGCTCAGTCGGTTAAGCATCTGCTTTCGGCTCCAGTCATGATCTCAGGGTCCTGGGATTGAGCTCAGGGTCCTGGGATTGACCTACCTACTCAGTGGGGGGCCTGGTTCTCCCTCTGCCTGCTGCTCCCCTCCCCCACTTTTGCTCGCTCTCTCTCTTTTTTCCTGTCAGAGAGAGAGAGAGAGACAAACCAAGAAACATACTCTGAACTGTAGAGAACACACTGATGGTTACCAGAGGGGAGGTGGCGGAGTGGGTAAAATAGGTGATGGGGATTAAGGAGAGCACTTGTTGTGATGAGTACTGGGTGTTGTAGGGAAGTGTTGAATCACTATATTGTACACCTGAAACTAATATCACACCGTATGTTAACTAACTGGAATTTAAATAAAAACTTTTTAAAAAGGTAATTTTACAAAAATATTTCACAGTCTTAGGAACTAGACAAGTGGTGTGCTAGTACATGCTTAACAACCAGTTCTCTGCATTTAAAAGAGAGAGACCCTGTTTTATAATGTTTGCTGATTTTCATTGTGTGAATACTTCCACCATGGCCCATTTCAAGTTACCAATGTGATATCAATTGGTAGCAAAAAAATTTTGAAAATTAAACAATTGGTTCTCATAAGTCTATATGAGCTGGATCTAAAACTACTCCATTCAGTATTGGAAACTTTGAGTGATATACAGCCCTCAAAACAAGGAATTCAGATTTCCAAGTTTAATAGCCTACTTATTTAATAAGAATTATTTAAAAGTATTATTTGCTTTTAAGATATCAGTCATCTGCAAAAGCAAATTCTACCACAACGTAATTGTGAAAGTTACATAGTTGATTAAATAGATCTATAAACATGTGTTCATACTTTAGGTTGAAAATTATTAGTCTGTTAACTCTCTAAGAAGTAGGAAAACATTTTCCTAGACACCAATTTATTTTTTAGAACTGAAAATATCTCTGTATTTCTCACAAAGTAATATATGATTTTGGTTTAAAAATTAGACAATATAAAAAGTTAAAAGACAAAAATGAAAAACACCATCATTTTATTTCCTAGAGATTACATTGTTAAAATTTTTATATATAGCCAAATACATGTTTTCAGACTACATATGTTACTTGTATTATTTTTCATGTCAGAACATTATCATGATAGTCATCCCATGCCAACCATACAAATCTGATTATCCTTTTTAATGGCTGTATATATATATTTCATTATATGACATATTTTAAAATGAGCTCAAAGGCTCCTATTTTTAGGAAGAAAGTAAGCCTTATAATTACTGTTTTCCTTTCAAAGGAAGTTAGATTTTTTGTTTTTGTTTTTAGCCTTTATAATTAGGCAGAAATCCCACTGATTTTGCTGAAAAATCATGCTTTGTAATGACTATCAGCTAAACTAATACAGGCAGTATTTTTTCCCTACATATTAATGGAATCATATTGAAACAAAATGCAGAAGTAAGTGAAGATTTGCTGAAAGTGATATAACCTTTTGGTTCATTCTGTACCCTTTTTTTTCTAGGTCTCTCAACCTTACAAATCACATAACAACTGCTCCTTGTTCTTCATGAGCCTGTGGTAGGCGCTTGACATTCATAGCCTTTCCAAAGCTCTAAATCAACAAATATACTATATTTCCCCCTTTACATATCATGTAGAACAGCTAAAATACCATAAAACATCCTTTAAGTGGTCTTTTCAAGTACTTGTATATGTAGAATTAAATGTAGCTTTAAAGCATTTAATATTTTTGTCACTGAAATAAACTTGAGGCTGTATAACTAAAATATATTACATGATTTATAATTAATTTTTATTATACAAATAAATGACTATGCAATCAAAAGATTTATATTTTATCCCTTAATAGGCTGGATTTAGTAAACAATAGAGAAAATGATTTAGTCATAAGTTCTGCTATATTGCCATGAGTAGAATTAATCTTTTTCTAAGATTTATTTATTTGAGAGAGTGAGCATGGAGGGGAGGGGCAGAGGGAAAGGGAGAGAGAGTCCTAAGCGGACTCTCCACTGAACCTAATAGAGGCAGGGGGTGTGTGGGGGGTCTCAATCTTATGACCCTGAGATCATGACCTGAACCAAAACCAAGAGTTGGACACTCAACTGACTGCACCACCCAGGTGCCCCATGAATTAATCTTTTCTTGGTCATTGTAAGTCTGAACATCCCATCCTCCTCCCCAGATGTGGATGTTTGCAAAGCAAATTCCTTCCAGTGAAGACATATTTTATCTACACTGAACACTTTTTTATTTTTATTTTTTGCCTATAATCATTGTCTTCTATAAGCTTCAGTATAGTGCTGTCTGCTGCCGCTGATTTTCCTCCTAACAACAACAAAAGATCACCTTCTCAGAACAGTCTTGACTCAGAGTAACGGTTTGTTCCATAGCCGCTCTCCCCACCTGTTGCTTCACTGAAATGTTTGCACAGTCCCCTGGCTTTGACTTGAACCACATTGTCAGGAAAAGATACGTGTTTCTTGAGTATATCCCCAGACCACAAGTTAACCACATTTTCAGCTTTTACTAATTTTTTTTTATCACTTGAAAACCCATTTTTGCCTTGGTTGGATCATGCCCTGAAATAGTTGAATGAATCAAGTTTTCTAGTTTCTGTATCAAGCACCCAGTTGACTCTACCTCATGTATCTTAGTCCATATCATATATCCAAGTCACCTTGGAGTTCATCATTTTGATGTCTCCCAAACTTACATTTTCACCTTTTCTTCACTTCCATTACCAAAGCAGTTGTTTTCTTATAGAGCATTTTTTCATGCCATTAAAAATATTTTTATCATTTTGAGAGTGTTACTACATACACAGTAAAGCTGTGTTGAGCTAAAGAAATTGGCCCAGCTCACTAAGTGTCTTCCTGCTCCCTCAGAATGAAGAAGCTCAAATTAGCAAAATTCCAATTCACTGCACCTCATGATCATTTGGGTCATTCAAGAGTGATAGAAGCTGCAAATGTAAAAATTTGAGAAAACAAATTATCATCTATATTATATATAGGTATAGATCTGTACTCCAACATTTTTTGTTTTCTTACCTAGAAAAGTGGGATAGGCATAGGTTCACTGACTCCCTTTGAAAAACATTAGAAATAGCTGCTTTTTAAAAAAAGCACATTCTCTAAAAGTGGAAAGAAAGATACTATCTTACAGAAAAGAAAGTTTCTGTTAAGCTACAAACTGTGGGCTTTTCTACATGTTTCTGTAGACAGTTCAGGCTTCTTTTGACATCATTTTTAATAAACAGCAATACAATCTCAGATCACTTGAGTAAATGAATGCATTTGCAACATTCATTTGGCACCACATTCTCTTGATGATTATGGCATTTGATATGTTCTTTTTTGCCCTCTTTGTCAGCCTGGTTCTTCATGTCAATCTATAGTCTTTTATGTGGTTAACTTGACAGATGCAGGAAATGGCTGCCAAGCTTTGAAATGAATTTTTTCAGCAGTGGCATCTGGGTATCAGATGGTCCCCTTGGCTGGCCTCTTGTCTTGCTGCATGTTGGTTTTAGTGGGGTCTGGTGTAGCATCACCTGTTGCTATGTTCCCTTTTCCTCCCATATGTCCATTTCCTGTGATTCGTGGATGAAAGTGAGAATAAAAGCTCTGATTCTGTCTTTATTTCAGAAAAAAAAATCTACAGAAATATGTTAGAAGGTACAGAGTTCTCTCTCTGACAAAGGGATACTTCCCTTTGGCTGTCACGCCTCTCAGCTAATGATTTGGGTACAAAGACCAAGTTTTAAGATATTTAATGAAAGGCAAGAAGGATGATGATGATTAATTAGTGGAACTGCCAGAACTGCTTTATTTCCTTTGATTCTCATTACATTAAGATGCTCCCATTGCTGTACAACATAACTAGGGGGAAATTGTATTTCTGTTTTTATTAGATGCTTGTACAAAGCTAGCTTTCTAAATTTAAAAATGAAATTATTCACTCGGAAACCATTATTTTGTCTGCTTCCTGCAATCCAGAAGCCCACTGTTTATGTTTGTATTGTCTTTTTAAAACGCTAGGTAAAAGCTATAGGAAATCACCATCGTGAAGAAGGCCTTTCTTCTATTATTAAGCCCTAGAGAGCTTGGATCCTGGGAGAGTCCAGGGTGTGCTAAAAGGACAAGCCAAACTCTCAGAGCCCCTGTCCTCTGCCCCTTCCCTGATGTTTATCTCATGGCTGTTAGCACCTCTTCCATTCTCTCCTAGCAGTACCATAACTTCGCAAAACAGCCCAGGGGGCACCATTCACATCACCGGTGAAGACATGCTATTCTATGCAGCCACATCTTCCAAATTGTTCATTCAAAAGGACGAGAAGACCGTAGTGTGTCCCTGGTTAAGCTTCTTCCTATGCTGATTTGCTGGCAGCGGAGTGTTCCTCTTCCCACTCTCCAGCTCTTAGTAATAAAGATCTTTGCCGAGTTACTTGCAAAAAAAGAGTTTCTAGAGTCACATTGACAAGGTTAGGCATTCTGGTGAAGCCAACCCAAGGAAGGGCACTATGAACTGGTGACAACACAAGAGGAAAATGTCCTTGTGTGGATAGCTGCCATTTTGTCCTCACTGTTGTCTCCTGCACTTTTATATTTGACAGGGGTAAGCAGAAAGGACAGGAAGCACAGCCGACTTTAAGAGTGTTTTTCTTAATCAAACAATTAACAAAACAAAATAGCAGAAATAAATCCTACCATGACAAATATGCACAAATACTCAAGATGTTTCACACTCTAGGCTATATGAGCTTCATAGTAACTAGAAACTGCTTGCAGTTTGGTAAAACTGCCTGTAAAAAAAAAAAATCAGAATTATTCCTCTTGAAGAATTGGTAATTTCTGCTCATATTCACAATAACAAATGTAATGGCTATATTTATTTTAAATTATACTTATTAAACCTGATTCTGAAAGATGTTTTAATGAAGCATATTTCCCTTTAAAAAAGTCAACCTGTACCTTATTGATTGCTTATTGTGCACCAATGATTGTGTTAAAAACTATAGGAAATACCGAGAAATTTTATGATACGTTACCTGCCCTTAAGAAACACATCCTTCTATTGAGGAGCCTTGAAACAAATGAGTATAAATAAAAATTTATTGTTCAGTTGCCAGAATGTAATAGCCCCTAACATTTATGGAGTGCTTACTATATATCAGACATTGTTCTGAGTAATTTTCAAAATTAAATAATTTAATTCTCACAACAACCCAGTGAAGTGACTCCTGTTATCACCATCATCTTTTTTCATCTAGGGACACAGAGGCACGAGAGGTTAAATGATTTGCTCAAGATCATTGGTTGAGCCAGCATTTGATCCCAGGCCACCTATCTCCAGAATCTAAGCCCTTAACCACTGTATTATACTACCTTTCATGAAGTTAGTCCTTAAGAGTTGGAATGTAAAGTAGGCCAAGCTATTTGCTACCTCGGAGGCTTTCCACTGACGATTTCCTATGGGGGGTGGGGTGGTGAAGGGAGAGGCAAGCGCTGTTTGCCCTTCAGTTTCTTTCCTTGGAGCCCTCAGCCACTCACCCGTGTCTCACTTCCCTGCATCTCCACTCCACATGCCCCCTGCACCTGTTTTTTTCTCAATTAGTTTCCTGCCTGGTCCTAGAAAGCACTGAAGTTTGCAACACGTGGAGGTCAATGACAGTGGAGTAGGATCACAGAGAGAGAGAAAACACAAAAACTTTCACTTTAGGGAGAGGCCAAATTTTTCTAGTGTTGAAACTGAAACAAATGAGAACAAGATAGCAAGAGCTGTATCAGGATAAAAATAGGTATGTGTGAGGAAGCTTAGATTTCATGGTATTATTTTTCCCAGTAAGACATTGAGACACCCACCCATTGAGACAAAAGAAGGCAATTGGAAACACGGTGTTTGAGAAGAGTTTCTCTTTAGGAGATCTGATACGTAGGCCTTCTTGAGTATTGTCAGGAAGCGGTTCCTAGTCACACTCAGGCCATCTCAGCACTGTTGTGGATATGGTCCTTACTCTGTTTTCTCTGTTTTCTACCTGATGCCTGGTATATAGTGTTCGGCAATTTCTTGTATGAATTAATAATGAATGAGTAGATATATGAATTGTGAGTTAACTTGCCCATTTAAGGAAACTAAGAGAAGTGACTGTATTTGATAATGACTTTAATTATCCAATAGAAATAGAATGGAAGCTAATGTAATATTAACCCAGACATACATTAAACCTATTCAAGTAGATTGAGGTGACTATAATCGTAATTGTAATAGGAACATCTGCAACTTTTCTTTCAGTGGGTTATATATTTTCAGACTGTTACTTTTTTATCTTTAATTTATTTTGCATTTCAGAATCAGTTGTCTAAGACTCAAGATAGTATCTCTTTTCTATTCTTACTGTTCCATGGTGGTGGCGTCATTTGTCTCTATACTAAATTCAGTTCCTATGAGAATCCTCTTTTCTTTCTTTTAACAGAAAGGTTGTGGGTACCATCTGGATCTATTGATGGTGGCTGTCATGCTTGGGGTGTGCTCCATCATGGGCCTGCCGTGGTTTGTGGCTGCCACTGTCCTGTCCATCACTCATGTCAACAGCTTAAAACTGGAATCAGAATGTTCAGCTCCAGGAGAACAACCCAAGTTTCTTGGCATTCGGGAGCAAAGGGTTACTGGGCTTATGATTTTTATTCTTATGGGTTCATCAGTCTTTATGACCAGTATTCTGAAGGTAATGAAATCTGCCTGTATGAAATTGAGAGGAGGCAGAATATATTTATTATTGCTTAAGAAATTTCATTTGAACCGAAGCCATCAATTTGCAAATATTGTACGGCATGGGACAAAAGTGATGAATTTCTTTACCATGTTTATATAACTTCTCAACGGGGGAAGTTATGTGCTGTGTTTTGGAAACCTTAAATACAGGAGAAATTTAGCCTGGCAAAGTAAAATTTGATGTGTAAATTATTACCGTAATTTTGAAGTAGTTACCAAGTTATGGGGAAAAGTCACTCATTATTTCTAACTGACTTGTGACCTGAATTCACTGCAGGCCTACATGAACTAAAGTCTCTATTTTCTTGTCAGATGTATTTGCAATTAACATTACCTAGAATAAAATAGAGGTGCAGAGATGAGCCATGTAACAGTCATGGCCATATATGCAGTTTTGTCTGTTAAATGTTTCAGACACTACTGCATGAACATCACCATTGTGTATACTTATTTTCTTCACATTTAAAGTAATTGAGTCCATTTTGAAGAGCATTAAAGAGTAATTATTTTGTCGTAGAATTTTGGCAGATATTACCAAGGTGTGTCAATTGTATTCTAAATTATAACTCATTTAATTGTCTATAATTTGAAAGTTCTAACAGAATGATTTAATCATATAAGTTTATTTATATTTAATCATTTATGTAAGTACATTTGCAAGAATTAATTTCTATGTTATATAGGTAATTATAGAGCTAAAATTATGCTGAGCTATTCCAGTAAAAAGAGAAAAACTGAACAGTCCACATGTTTGCAAATATCTGGTATAATGTCAGAACATCTAGATGTTAGTTCCATTCTTCATCTTTAATCCAAATATCTTAGCATTGTGAAAACAAAATTCAAGTTTCCCTAAAGTAGCATAATAATAATAGTTAATCTTTATTGTTTATTATGTATTTTATATGCCCTTTTATAGGTTTTGACCTATTAAATACTCATAACAACCCTATTATTACCATCCCTTTTTATATACACCAGGAAAACTAAGGCACAGAGAGCTTAAGTAATTTACCTAAGGTTACGCAGCTAAAAAGTGCTAGAGCTAGGATTTGAACCTGGGGCTTCTGGCTCTGCCCTATATTGCTTTTAAAATATTTATTTTTCTGTGTTTTTTTTTTTGGTAAGTGAAAAATAGCATGACCAGTTATTTGAAAAATAACTTGTATCTTTTCTCTAATTGTTCTTTTACAGTTTATTCCCATGCCAGTTCTATATGGAGTGTTTCTTTATATGGGTGCTTCGTCTCTAAAGGGAATTCAGGTAAATTGCTTACAGTAAACCACGCACATCTGTGATGACTTATCTTAAGTCTGTTGATGCTAAATCATGTGATAGTTAAGAAAATGACATCATCTGAGGAGCAGATTTCACACCACAGTTAAATTTCTTCAAGCTCATTCATAATTTTAAGGTATTTTTGTTTACCATAAGTTATATTAAAACTGTATAAAGTTTAGACTTTACAACCCTCTTAGAAAACTAATAGCAGTACATTTCAAAATATATCCAAATACTTTTAATCTTTGATACTGTAATCATGTATATGGAACAGAAAAGAAGAACTGTATGCACAAAGATGTTCATTCTAACACATACTATCAAAATATTGGAAATAACCCAATTATCCATCAGCAGTAAAATAATTAAGTGATCTATGTTACAGTCATTTAAGATTGGTAATTATGATGGCCATTAAAGGAACATGGTAAAAATGCTTATGGCTTCATGGAGAGCAAAAAAGTAGGAAAACAAGCTCTACCTACCATATAGGTTTATAAAGCTGTGAGTGTGAATGGATCAAAAAGGAAAGCAGAGAAATAAAAACAATTTATTAAGGTAGTGAGATCCTGGGTGATTTTTTTTCCTTTCATGTTTGTCTTTCTACTATTGGTATAATTGGTACAATTATATTTATAGAATTCTTTTTTAAAATTAAACTAAAAAGAAAGGTATAGAGTAAGGCAATTTCAAGGTATAAAGGGAAGCTTATTAGTTGTTTAAATAAGTATTGGTTAAATATAGTTGTATGAATTTTCTATTAGCAAATTACATAACAATTCATAACAAATTACAATTAGTGGCTTTTAAACAATGAACATTTATTATCTCACAGTTTGTGTGGGACATGAATTTGGGAACAGATTAGCCAGGTGGTTCTGGCTCAAGATGTCTCATGTAGTTGCCGTCCGGATGTGGACAAGGGCTGCACGCACCCGAAAGCTTGACTAGGACCGGAGGACCTACGTCCAAGATGGCTTATCACACAGCTGTGGGGAAAAAGCATCGGTTCCTCTGTGGCTGTTGGTAGGAGGCCTCAGTTTTTTGCCAGACAGGCTCTCTATAGGACATTTAGGTACCCTCATGACCTGAAAGCTAACTTCCATCAGAGTGAGCAATGTGAGAAAGAGTGAGGGTGAAGTCACTGTGCCTTTTGACTTCATCTCCAAAGTTACACATGGTCTTTTCCATTTTCTTCTGTTTGTTAGAGGTGAGTCATTATGTCCAGCTTGCATGCATGGAAGGAAATTAGACTCCATCTCTTGAAGAGAACAGTACTGAAGAAATTGTGGACACATTTTAAAATGACCACAATTGTATTCTAAATCTTTGCAGAGGTGGTGGGCAAATTATTCATGCTTATCATACTATAGTGGTTTAAATAGTGTTTCCCGCAGTCATGTCCACCTGGAATCTCAGCATGTGACATTATTTGGAAATAGAGTCTTTGAAGATGGATTAGTTATGGATCTCAGGATGAGCTCATCTAGCATTTAGGGTGAACCCTAAATCCAATGGTGGGGGTCCTTATAAGAAGAGAGGACACAGAGAGACACAGGGAAGAAAGAGGCAGATTTCTACTTAAATTTGCCTTTGGGAAAAATCCTGTCTTATAACCTAACATCATTGATCTAAAACACTTAAGTTTTCTTGAAAGGAGACTAATTTTGAGGGTTATTTATTGTAAAGTATAGTTTATTTTTTTCTTGACCAAAAGGAAATCATAAACTGCTGCTTTTTCTATGACACAGCTAGTCTCATTGTTGTTCAAAGACATGAAAGAAAAGTCACCTGACTATTATGAATGTCTCAAATTAACACATGTGAAGTGGAGCACAGGGTGCTGGATGGCAAGCTGTGGTTCAAGGATAGACTACAAGAGAAATTGAAATAGATAATTTATTACTCACAGGTCCTGGAGGAAGTACCTGGTGTACCTTAAGGGTCTGAATAGGGAAGTTAAGGCAGAGGGCAGACAGAGAAAGAATCAAGACCTGGGGCACATGCCTTTATTAGGATTTGTGGATGGAGTGGTTTGGGGTTCCTGGTCTAAGGCTGATTGATCAATTCAAATAAAAAGCAGGGTTTTGGTAAGCCTCAGGTGGGTCTTATCTAAGGAGCACATAAGGGGAAGGCCCTGGGAGTTAGGGGAGACTGTTGACTGCAAGGACATTTGGGGTATTCATCTCAGGAACGTACATTTACTTGTGACTCTGTTGGCTGTTATCCAGGGCATGTGCCTACGTGAGGAGCTAGTGTTGATTCAGGTGACCACAGGCTTTTTAGCCAAACAAAATGGATGCTGAGGCAGCAAAACCATGGGGTAGCTTAGCTAAACTCTTGATACTGAGGGACAGATAGTACAGAAACTCTTTTCCTGAATGAACAACCAACCAGTTTCTGACTTTGAGAGAAGAAAAAGCACTTCAGCCTTGGGAAAGTACTAGATGTCAGAACTGAGGCAAAATTTCAATATGAAGTCATTGAAAGATAATTGGACACCCAAAAAGGTACTATGACTGTTCTTCTTGACACTTGGGTAAAATTTACTTGGGAGAGGGAAATGGTTGGGAAGTGTGTTATGCATTTAAATTTTACTCTAATTAGATTTAATTTGCTCATTTATAATTTCATGTATGAAAAATGTATTTTGAAAGAATTGGTTTGGTAAGGCAGATAGAGTACTGAAGAGGTTTTGTTTATTTGTTTTACTGTTTTTTGCCTTTGGCAAAAGTTCCATGAGTACTAATTTCATCTGTAAGTGAAAAGTATTTATTATTAGGCCCCAGGCTCACATAAATACAGCAGCAGAAGTTTAAGAAACAAAGTAAAATCATTTTGATAGGTTTCAACAGATTTTTCCCCCTAATTCCACTCACATGATTTTATAACCACGAAGTTTAGAACTAAACAAGAATGTCAAGTTTTGGAATTATTTGGGGTGTGAATCTCCCAAATGAAAATTGAGGAAAACATTATTAAAGGCCCATGAGAAAAGTATAATGAGTTTTAAATAGCACAAATGAAACAGTAAGCAGGGTCTCACACTGAGAAACAAGATTAGTGAAAATTGAAGTGAACCCTGAACTTAGGAAGTTGAAATTCCTGTTTTGCGATTTTGTGGCTAACTGCATGGGGGAATGGAATATTATTGATATTAGGACAAGATAAAAGCCAAGTGCAAAACTCAGGATACATGTATCATGATTATCATTACTTGAGTAGTAATATGCATGCACTGAGTACCAACAGTTGAAGGAGCATGTTAATTTTATGTTGAAGGAATTTATATGCTACCTGATTGTTTGGCAATATTATGAAACATATTATCTGGGCTTCTCACTGTGCAACATGGCAGAAAAAACAGATCACAGTGTTCTTATGGATGCTGTTTCTGTACTCAGATATATAACCACATCTATATTCATTCCAACACTTCAGGAATCCAAAGTAAAGCAAATGTGCCATTTAAACAATAACAATTGAAGCACCCACACACTGAAGTACACTTATGCAATAACAGCTTCACAAATGGAGAAATGGTGGCTGGGAAAAATGAGTTCTATAGAAACTGAAATATTCAGTTATAAGCCAGAGGATTTTACTTCATTTCTTCCCTATTCCCACCTCCACCAATCACCAAATTTTGTATGTTTAACAACACTGTATTTTAAAGAGATATTTAGGAGATAGGAATAAGAAGACCTAATGAAATATTTAGAGACAATATGGAGAAGGATGAACCAAGAAAAAGAAATTCAGCACTTGGTACTTGCATAGAAGTACATTTCAATAAATGATTTTGGAAGGCATTAATGAATATAAATAAGTACATGAATAGTGGATGAACTAGACTGCGTATGATTCTGGTTTGGATGACTGAGGGAAGAAGGGTCAGGCAGGCTGTGCCGTAAGTCAAGGGACATAGGAGAAAATATGGGTTTATGTTGAGTTTGAGGTTCCTATTACATTGTTAAATATATTAACAATATATTACATATTATATTAACATCCTTTTATTATTTTATTATTTTTATTTTTATATTTATATATATTTATATATTTTATATATTTATATTTCATTTTCTTGTTACCCTAACATTTAACCCCATGGATATTTGTCCCTTGGCATATTAGAGTAATTTTAGAATATTTGATGAGAATTGTTTACAATTTTTTCATAAATTAGCCAAGAAATAAAATCAAATATCATTCTTTTGAAGATGCACAATAGATATTACTATAGGAATGGCATGAAATAGAACTGACAGTGCTTGAAACCATCATTTCCTAAATAATCACTTCTTGTTGAAAACATTGGAAACTGTAAAAATCGACCTGAGAAAAATTAAAGAAAATGGTCCATGTAAAATAAAACTAACACACAGCACAATTTGTTAGTGAGTAAAATATGATTGAAGTTTTAAGCTTCTTGTGAAAATTTAGTCTATAAAATTTGAATTGAGAAAATTTGCTTTGGTATATAAAATCAAAATCGAAAGTATAACAATAATATCATATAGTCCAAAAATAATTTTACTGTCTTCATGGTAAAATTTAAACAGAAACACCTGTTCCAGATGAAAATAATTTTAATAAAATACAATTGAAAAAATTGTAATTGGCTTGACAGTGCACCGGAAGAAACTGAACAAGAAATCAAATTAACAAAGTTTGCTCTGGAAACTACTTGATTAACAGTAATTCATCTAGGTTAAATCTTTGTGGCTAAGCTTGTTTGTAAAGACAGCCTCAAAACCTCGTAGGGGGTCAATGTGGTGAGGCCAAAACAGCAGAGTCAACACATCCCACTCAGCAGCAGGATGTGGGTGGGGAGCTCTGGCAACAGAGAGAGAGAGAGCTCGAGCGCTGAAGTAGAGACCTAGGTCTGGGAGTCTCTAACAAGCATGTGAAAGTTGAAGCCATGGGTATGGATGAGCTCTTCCAGGAAAGAAGAGGACAGAGAATGGACCATGGTGTTTAGTGGGCAAATAAAAGGAAGAGCTTTGTGATGTGATAATGAAAAAGAGTTTGATGATTACATTTTGAGAGCAAGGCTACACTCTCCCAGGTAGCAACGGTTAGCATTGGCTTTAATATTTTTAAAACTCTTCTAAGTTATAGCCTTAGAAGACTGTATAAATGTGGGATATTATGAAACTGAAATTGTGCATTTCAGAGTATACGCATAACAATCCCATTGTCCTGATGCCCAGCTGTCAACTTAATCAGGTGATTCCGATGTATGATATTTTGGACCATATTAAACATCTACTTGTCTTACTTTTATTGCCTGTAAAAAGCAATTTAGTCTGTTTATCTTTTAGTTCTTTGATAGAATAAAGCTCTTCTGGATGCCTGCAAAACATCAGCCAGATTTTATATATCTAAGGCATGTACCGCTTCGAAAAGTCCACCTCTTCACAGTGATTCAGATGAGTTGCCTTGGCCTTTTGTGGATAATAAAAGTTTCAAGAGCTGCTATTGTCTTTCCCATGATGGTATGAAACTTCTAAGTCAAGTTTTTTTCTCCTCCTCTGATTTTCTGCTCTATTTGGAAACATATAAAACTGAAATTGGAACAGTAGAGTCATTTTGAACAATTATGGGAAACCATGATGTAAAGTTTAGCTGCTAAAGCTAGTGACTAAGATAGGATTTGAGATTATATATGAATTTCAGTGATTCATATTAGTTTTGCCTCTATCATTCTAAATACTTGAAATGGTTTGAATTAATTGAAGTTGGGTAGAAAAATGTAGACTTTCAAAATGTAACATTAAAGATATACTAGCAAATCTGAAAAACTAGGGGGATTTAGAATTAAATTTTAATAAATATTTCAGATAAATTTCAAATACTTCCAAAAATATAGTGAATTTGAATGACTATAAGTCAAAATACTATCAGCATAGATAAGAATGGTTTAATGTTCATTTATAATAATGCAAACTATTAACTACATCTATTTAAGAAACAGTCATATTTTGTAGGTTTTTCTTTTTTTTTCTTTGAGATAGCTTCTTTAAGTGACTCCCTTACTGGGTAAAATCAGAGCTATTATTCTGGGGATGTGGTAAGAAAAGGAAATGAAGAATGCAAAAATACAATGTCTATTATACACGTATGTCTTCAAGTTTCACTTGAATCTCAGTCTTAATTGAAATTGACTTGTTTCCACCAAAAAACAAAAAAGCTACCTCTCCCATTTTTATTTTTTTCCATGTTTTACATTATTTTATTATTTGCTTCAGGTTTTAGCTCTGGTATTTGTAAGAAAACTGATGGACTTTTTGTTTACGAAACGGGAACTCAGCTGGTTGGATGATTTAATGCCCGAGAGTAAGAAAAAGAAACTAGAAGATGCTGAAAAAGAAGTAAGTCAGAGCGAAATCAGTATCAAAGAGAAGCAAATGGAACACTTGCACAGTAACAGCTCCTTGCAAAACCAAATCATTTTGTTTATCTTTAGATAGTTAGTGCTTACTAACTAACAACCTGTGGTTGTTACCACAGGTGGACTATTAATATTTGGAAGATTAATGCTTAAAATCTTAAAGTTGAAACTTGAACACAGAGAGACCACAGATCTTACATGAGAAAACCAAACCCTTGTGAAATATGCAAACACTTTGTACTTCATTATCCAAATTGTGAGCTTTGCTTTTCTATTCCCTCCCTTGTGGATGGCAGAACCTTACTGATGCTTAACTATTTCTGAGTTATGGTCCAGCAATTGTTGCTTTTTGGTTGAATATGTGAGAAGGAATGAAAGAGACAGTATTCTTGTTGATATTTTTCTAAGGAACAAATTTTTAATGGCAAGATTCTAATTCTAATCAAAAGATAAAATCAGTTATTTTTGAAATAGATGAAATGTTTATGATCTGATCTGCTTTCAAAGTGATTTAAGATCGAGTAAATGTAGTTTGAGAAAATTCGGGGATTTAATTATTTCCATGGACTAACTGATCTATCCTATTCTGTTTCGTGCATTAAGATGATTTAAGTTTTATGGCATATCTAAAGTTCATATGTAAGTCTGGGTCTCCTTTGAAGGCTGGTAACCATAATATTTTAAAAATGTGCTTTCTATAAAAAACTACAAAGAGTTTAAATGAAAACAAAAAATGACCAGTATACCTTTTACTGGAATGATTGAGTCCATAGATTGTAAAACATAAGAACAACATTTCCATGTGAATAGAAATGAAGATGAAAGAAAATATTCGGTGAGAATTCTTTCCACTTTTCCTTATTCTACAAGGTGGTCTGTAGATATGCTGTTTCCTGTCTACAGCATAATTTCTCAAAAGGAGAGATATATTCCTCTCTCCTTTGGGGAATTTGTCTGCAAACATTTGAATGGTTCTAGGTTTTACTCAGCCATTAGGTGAAGTCAGATTAGGCCACAAAGTCTGATGAAATTTCTCCTCAGAGGTTTTTACAAATATGGCTATTGAGTATGTGACGGGCTGGCATTCCTTTCTTTTTTCTGTGGCGTCCCATCGCAGACAATGGATTCCCACTTTAGAGATCGATCACGATGATGTATCTTAATTTTGCACAGTTATTTCCATTTCCCCAAATGATGGAGAAGGAATACTTAGAAACATACTTCTAGTAATATTAATACAACATTAAAAATATATAAAATCATTATTTCTTTATTTTTCTGTTTGACATATTCTTATTTAAGTATGAGAGATTTTTAAAAACGATGCCTTAACTAGGATATTTCCTTTTAGGACTTTAGTAAAGGTTTGGTCTCTTCCTCAGATACCATTCAAGAAGAATATGACAGAATTTGGTGTAAATTAAATGTAAATAAGATGGACACTAGAATATAAAAATTCTGCAGGTTTAAATTATCCATACTTGATGTGATTAAGATTATGCACATTGAAGATAATCCTCAAGAAAGTTTAAATTCCAAAGAAGACAATTTTGAATATAAAACTCATTGACCATGTCCCTTCAGTCTTTCTGATAATGAAAATACTATTAAGTATACTAAGGCAGTAACTTATAAATGTAATTTTGCTTTATTTTCCTGCTTTGATTTCCTGTTCAAGTGTCTCTACTGCTTCTATAGAAAAAGTTAACAAGAGCCCCAGCCATATAATCATCCCTTTCATAGCATTCTCTTTAGGCCATATCCATACCATGGAACATTCTTGCCCTTCTAGAACTTTGTAAAATGAAAAATGGTATGTATATATAACATATTATGTTTAATATTCTCCCCTTTTGTCATTTAAGGAAAATTTTAGATTCTCCCTTTATATGTCTATGAAATAGGGGAGAACAAGTTTGATAGTAATCATAAATTTATTTGCATCTGCCGTTTCCTTTGCCCAAAACTACTCCTGACACTTCATATGTATAGTATATGTATGTGTGCTAGATGTCCATTTTGAAGTTTATTAATCTCAGATAGGCAGAGATCCTATTCAATAAGCTTCTAAATTTTTTCTGTCAGATCCACTGTACTCCAATGGGTGTTTACTGTTTTCTGATTATGAAGATACATATTTTAGAAGTAATCAAATATTACTAGATCTCCTAGAATTCATGTTTTCCAAAAGGATGCAAAAATAAAGACTTATTGAGGCAAATTTACCACTGTATCCTTCAGATCTGAATATCAGAAAAAGTAGGGGGAAATGCCTTGCAATACCTTAATCAGGAAGATGTATAGACCTTTAAAATCTGAAATAGATTAATGTGATGATGCTCGCGTGTGAATCTCAGTACATGGAAAGAAACAAGAGAATCAATAATACAATGAAAACACAATTCATTACTGAACATTTAAATATAGTTCCGACGAGTGCAAAGAAAGATTATTCTCCATACGACAACTGGAGAAAGAAGAGGAAGTTTAAAGATGTTCACTTTCTAACTTGGAATTAGTTACTAAAAGTGTATGATCAGTATAGCGAACTGGAAGTTTTAAGAAGGATTGCACTAGAACTTAAATTCTGGTTGGTTTTCCTTTTGGTCACGCAGATCTCAGTATTTCATTTTCTTGAGGCTCTGGACTCCACTGATGGATGTGATCTTCTTACTGTGGCATCTTATACCAAGGCCCAGTCTTCTAAGAAATTGTGCATTCAGGTGGTAAATGGACAAGTTCTCCAGAAATGCAGCATTTCTGCAATTGCTCAAATTAATTGAGTAACTTTGATTGTGATCTGGAAAGATGGTAAATAGCAGAAAATGTTCAGCTCCATGAGACTTGAATTTAAAGTAGGCTCACCTCTTGTCCTTTCGATGATAGTTACAAGCTTGTACCTTTATCTTCCAGGGTTTTCTTATCAGTAGCCCGCTTCTGGTCTTATGGCATTGAGAAAACATTAGTTTGACCTTAAAATTCAATAATGAGTTAAGCAGAATAAATAGCTACACAGGCCAGTCCAAGGTCGCAGAGCTTCTGTTCCAAATTTTCATGTACTTCATGCATATGCATATGCATATGCTTCAGTTTTTAGAAAGAAAGGATTATAATCAGGATAGAAATGAATATTGGAACCCTGACATTTTGCACATTGCTCTGTGTAAAGGGAAGACTGCAGAATCAAATTCTGGATGTCCAAATGTGCTCAGAGTACCAACATGCCTTCCTTCCTACTTAAATATTCTCTAGGACATTGTACACATTTGACAAAAGGGCGGCTGTTAAAAGCAGAAAGCCCCAGCAGAACGTTTGCTCCTGGGTGGGGGGGTAGAAGGCAGTTAATGTTAGATAAATCCTGGAAATTCAGCTTTGGGCAGTGATCATGATATTGACACTTCTTGGTTTACAGGAGGTTCACTCTAACATATAATGCTATGGAAAAAAACAAAAAGAGGCAAGTGAGACTTGTGATCTGTATGAAGAAGGATCATGAGCAAGGCCAAGAAGATGCAAAAGCAAACTAAGAACAAGTGCAATTAATGCAATTCAACAAATTACAGAGCAGGTCTTACGGGCTTAGAAAGATGAGAATTGGTTGTGGTTTGGGGAAGCATGGCCTAATTATTACACAGGCAAATGTTATTTCTAATTGAATCTTAGAGTAAGGTGAGCATATTCTTCGTCAAGCAGTGATTTTCAAAGTGTAGTTCTAGGACCTCTGCTGCATCAGCCAACACCTGGCAACTTGTTAGAAATGCAAATTCTTAGACCACATTCCAGACCTATTGAATCAAAGCTCTGCAGATAGGCCCAGAAATCTGTGTTAAGGAGACCTCCAGGTCCTTCTGATGCATGCTAAAATTTGAAATAAAACCTTTTCTAAAACCATAATGTCTGTATCTCCAGAATATAATCTTCTAAATCCAAGGTTACTCTATCAAAAGTTGTGTTTTATAATAACTTAGATAAGTCACTTAGAGATATTGAATCAAATATTCTGATAAAATCATGTCGCATCCAATTATTTATATGAATTCTATATAGACTACTCCTCTTCCCCATTTTTCCTTTTAAGCTTTCATTGTTAAAGTGAGTAGTTGTATGTACTGGTTCTTCTATTGGAAATTTTAATACATACCTCTTAGACACATCACATTTTATGGCTTTCAGAGTACTGTGTGGGGGGGTGTGGGTGTGTGTTGAACATTTGCAGCATTATCTGTTATATTAGTAATTAAAGAAGAAAGTGGTCTGAGTTCTATAGACTTTGTTTTCCTCTTGGATAAAATAAAAGGGTCAAACTTGATTGCTGAAGTACCTTCCAATTTTTAAGATCTATGAATTCTAAAATTGCTGAATATTTTCTGTAATACTCTAACCATCTTTGTGAACGGTTAGAATATTACTTGGCTCTCTGCTGTTGCTCATACTTTGAGCTATTTGAGGGTTCCTACATAGATACAGATTTTACCTCAGAAGTGGATATAGTAACAGATGCTACCTATTTCACTAAAGGTAGAGCATTTGCCATGATATATGAATGATTTTTTATGCTATCACAAAATATAATTCAGATCCATACTTCCTACTAATCCAAACACACCACAGTTTTTTAAAAAGACAGCATTTATTTATTTGAGAGAGAAAATGCACGTGCAAGAGAGAGCAGTGGCGGGGAGGGGCAGAGAGAGAGGGAGAAGCGGACACCCCGCTGAGCAGGGAGCCCTACACAATGCTCATCCCAGGACTCTGGGATCATGACCTGAGCAGAAAGGCAGACATTTAACTGACTGAGCCACCCAGGTGCCCCAAAACACACCATAAAGTAACTCCAATTTTATTTTTCACTTACTTAGGCCTTTGGCTCTAGCCAGGCTAGTTGTTATTGTCATATTTATTTCTACTTTTTATTCTTAGCCTACATTGTTTCTAGAGTTTCTTCCTTTCTTCTACCAAACTGATCAAATAAGACTGGCTTAGATACTACTTCCTCTCTTCCTGTATTTTGTCCAGTGATCCTTATCATCTGAGAGTACAGTGTGTGTCTTTTCATTGTTCTGTCACCAGTACCTAGCAGAATACTTCATGTAGATTATGCCTAATACATGTTTGATAAATGGATTCATGAGTAGCTCCTGGATTATTCACTGTGTGCCTAGCACATAATGCATGTTGAGTGTTTTGAGTTGTTTTTTGATTAGATTTTCTTTTTAAAGCCTCAATTTTCCTACCTTTTGTAGAGATAGCATTAACTAGCCTTCGCTTATGTAGTATATGAAAAATGCTTTGACTATCTTAATTAAAAGATGGCATTCACATCACAGCCTGAGTAGTCCTCTAGTCAAATTGGTGAAAGCCTTCTCATGTTCTTGGTAAACTCGGATGCTCATCCTTTAACATCTTCACCACGTTGTAGAACTCAGCGTATTTTTGACGGACCCCCGTGTAAATGAAGTGCTATGTGGAACTCGTTTTAAGGTACTGCTGACTTATAAACTGATGGATACCCAGTGAGCTTTGAGCTCTCACTCTCTCTTCCTGTATGATTGAGATAAACTGGGTTGTCATTGTCGTGACGGCCAATGCCTGATTTGACTGTTCCTCCCCAGAAAGTCTCAAATTTTTGGCTTCCTCACAGTGCTGCCTGGGATGCAGCCGGCCCTCCATCCCTGAGCTCTGGGGCCCACCCAGCTCCCTTCTGGCACTGAAGGCAGCGGCGGCTCTGCCACCCTTCTCCTCAGATAAGCATGGCTTGGAAATGCTATCTTTAGAGGTGATGAGTTTTTGTTTGGATAGAATTATGACTAGTATAAAGCCCACACATGCTAACAAGCCACAGAGTGCAAAATAATTATTGAAAGCAATTTGAGAGAAAAGTGGAAAATCATCTGAGGAAAAAACAAAATTGTTCCCAAAGCTTCGGTCCAATTTTTTGCTGTTACATTGAATCTTGAGTCTTAGTTCTCTGCTGCCAGGTCACCTAAGCATTGATGGCACTGTTCTTCTCTGTCTCTCTCTCTCTCTTTTTAATTTTACTCTTTATTAAGCCTTTCTACATGCCTTCTTAACGTTTTATTCCAAGTTAGTCAGAAAACGTATTATATACCAAGCTTACCTTCCAGTAGACAACTGAGAAAAGAATTGCATTTTGCTTGTATCTTGGTTTTACTTAAATAGCATTTGGGATCACTGAATGTTTTCTCTTTATGTCCCTCCATGTGTATTAAGGTAATGTTTTCTCTAGAAAAAGTAAACTTTTTTTACCTGAGAGAATACATATGCTCAGTCCATTGCCTCAATGTTGTGCATATAAGTTAATATGACATATGTATTATGTTCCATATGTAGTGACTAACCCATTTGCAAGGCATGCCCTATTCCAGGCTGCAGATTAGCTTTGATCAAATGCTAAAATGTGTAATTTCAAACCAATGGTACTGGTACTGTCTACTTCTTTTTAATTAGTTTTAATAGTTCTGCCAATGACAAGAGAAATAGGCATAATATACATGTAATAAAGTATATCATCTCTTAAAAGAAAAAATATTCTTTTTTTTAAAGATTTTATTTATTTATTTGAGACAGAGAGAGAGCACATGAGAGGGGGGAGGGTCAGAGGGAGAAGCAGACTCCCTGCCGAGCAGGGAGCCCGATGTGGGACTCGATCCAGGGACTCCAGGATCATGACCTGAGCCAAAGGCAGTTGCTTAACCAACTGAGCCACCCAGGTGCCCAGAAAAAAATATTCTTGAAGAACAACAGAGAAAGAGAATAAGATTAGTTCCTGTAATGTAAAAGGGTAACAGACAGGTGCCATTAGTACCACAGAGTATAAATGTAACAAAGCGTTTGTGGTTGGCCACCGCAGGAACTTATAAGCAAAGAAGTAGCAGAATCATGCAGTTCCCTGACTTCTCCATTATTACCCAGCATAGGCTGGGCATAGGTATCTGTATGCAGCATGGTTAAGGTCCCAGCAGAGGGGAGCCTGCCTTGGTCAGTAGGTTGGATGTGTACAGAGAGCACTCCAAGACTGAAAATGAGAGCTGCCCCCACATTACATTTTATATTCGTAGGTTAGCTGAACAGGCTCTAGAAAACACTGTTTCTTTAAGTAACAAGAAATACTGCAAGGACTCTTCAGAGATAGCATGCAAGTTGAGGCCAAGGTCTGGATGGTGGTAGGAATGGCCTTGCCTGCCAGAAATGACATCATCCAAAGGTCATGTCTTCCTGGAAGCTGATTTAGATCAGCCAAGCTCCTGCTAAGCCACTAAAAGAGGGATGAGCCTCCAGGGTCGTCCTATTTTCTCTAGCTCTTCATCTCTAACTTAAAGTTCCATTTCCAGTATTACGCATCCATAAAAAAGGAATAAGATCTTGCCATTAGCAACAATACAGATGCACCTAGAGGGTAGTATGCTGAGTGAAATGTCAGACTAAGAAAGACAGATGCCATATGATTTCACTCATACGTGGAATCTAAAAAACAAGACAAATGAATAAACAAACAAAAAGCAGAATCAGAACTATAAATACAGAGAACAAACTGATGGTTGCCAAAGGGAAGGGGCGTTGGGGAGATGGGGAAATTCGTGAAAGGGAGTGGGATATACAGGCTTTTGGTTATGGAATGAATAATTCACGGAATAAAAGGCACCACATAGGGAATATAGTCAATGGTATTGTAATAGTGTTGTGTGGTGACAGATGGTAGCTACACTTGTGGGCATAGCATAACATATAGAGATGTTGAATCACTATGTGTACACCTGAAACTTCTGTAGCCTTGTGTGTCAGCTATACTCAAATAAAAAAAACCCAACAAAATAAATAAAATTCCATTTCTGGAGTTAGAACTAATGATTCTAACACTTTTAAATGGCCCCAAGTAGTTCTCTGAACTTGAGCATTGCTAATTGACTCATTTGAAAATAAACGCATTATGTAGGAGCTATAATCTATAGATAACTAAAATTTTTTTGGTGCATGGAAAAAGTCGATAACATTATTGAAAACTAAACCAGGATATTTCCATATGGTAGGATAAGATTTTCCTTATCCTAAAGATATGGTTTTAAAGTGTTATATATGAAGAAATGAATATATGAAGCATTTCTACCTTTCAGGGAAGGGTAGGATATTGTCGTTGTAAGAAGAAATCTGAGGCATAAAACAAAAGCTTAAGATGTGTCTAGTGGAAAGCACACCTGGGTTTTGGTCCGTACAGAAAGGTATCTTCTCCTGTCTCGGAAAAAGTCTCTAGAGCAGTTGTTCTCAAAGTGTAGTCCTTAGACCAGCATAATCAGCATCACCTGGAAACTTACTAGAAATGTAAATTCTTGGGCCCTACTCCAGACCTACTGAATCAGAGGCTCTGGAGGTGGGGCTGAGCGGTCTGCGTTTTTTTAAAGCCCTCTAGGTGATTTTGATGTAAAATAAAGTTTGAGAACCGCTGCTCTAAATATACCCCTCATTCCCTTCTAGCAGAGCATTCTGGGATTGTAACTTAAACTTTATAACAATGAAAACAATTACATTGCCCATACGTTTTTTCCCTTTAAAATTTGGATTTTTTTTTTAATCTGCTTGGAAATTAACCACGTTTTGCATTGAGTGACATGAAGGAGATTGTTGTTAGCATTTAAATTACTTTGTGGTATGAGACTCTCATTAATTACTTATGTTCTTGGTAGCTGGTGCTTTCTTGAAAGGACCTGTGCTAGCATTAATAAATGCAAACAAAGTGGAAGGTCCTGAGGTTAATGAGATAGTGAAACATTAATCTGTGTTTCTTCTTTAATGTAAAATGGAGGCTCATCAGGTTCACTTTATATATTTTACATTTGTCTTTCCAGGAAGAACAAAGTATGCTAGCTATGGAAGATGAGGGCACGGTGCAGCTCCCATTGGAAGGGCACTATAGGTAAGTAAGATACACATGTAAAAGCTTTGAGGCATGGAACATGTGCTTATATACTTAAGAATTTCCTACTGTGTGGATTCCTACAAAGGTTTGTTGGAGCTGTGTTAGAGTAGAAAGAACTGAAACTAGGAATTAGATTACCCTGTCCCTAGTACTAAGTTCTGATACTAATAACTGTGTGAGTATGGCCAAGTAACTTAAAATGAAGGGGGGGAGGGTGGCGGGAAACTGTTGTCTGTAGTCTTTTCTTCTCATATTTTCTACTGTATACCAAAGCTCTCTTTCATAACCTCTAAAAGTAGCAATTGAAGACGGGTTGAGATTCAATGCCAGGATGAATAAGCTAGGTATTCACTGAGTTGATCCCAGATAAATGCTTGAACTCTGGGAGGTTACCCCTAAAATATGGCACTTCCAAAGAGATGATCTATTTCCTGAGTAGAAGGATTCAGTTGCACCAGTCATTTTAGGAAATATTTATGTAACTCTCCAAAACATGCTGATCTTCTTTAGGCACAAAGACATAGCGAAAGAATGCAAATTCCTATGCGTTATAATAAAGACTTATGAAAGTATTTGGCCAAAAATTGTATGTGTGAATATTATATATATATATATATATATATCGTCTCAAAGTGCTTAAGGATAATTTAAGGCCATGCCAGTAAAAGAAAAGGAGAGAAAACTTTTCTCTGAGGAGGAAATTTATCATAGTATTGACAAAAAAATTGGAATCTTCTAGATCTTCAGAGTCTGCTATAAAACCACATTCCCTAGGTTTTTAAAATATAATTATCTACCATGAAATCATGGGAAGTCATTTTATCTTTTTTTTAGTAATATTTAAGTCTTAAAATCCTGTTGATTGTTTTGTCAAATCAATATATTTCCACGTGTATGTTATAGAAACTTAGTCTCATGTGGTACCCCTCCTGAAGGGATTTTTTGGTTAGACGCATTTCCATACTGCATTCCAGTTTGGAGATTCACAATGCATGCTGGAATATTAAAGAACCTAAGGGGTACTGTATTTTTTTTTAAGTTTAATTTTATTTAATCCAGCATTTTCTAAACTCTTTTGCTTTCAAGACTCCTTGTCATATAATATCATGAAAAATATGTATTCATATAATATTCTTTTGGAAACTGGTTGATCTCATGCTTTGAGTCACTAAGGGCTGCTGGATTTGAGGAACTAAAGAACATGTGTCCAAACTGGGAAAGGAGGGAAACTGTGAGACCCAAGGTTTTGCCCCCGACCTTTGGTGTTCCTCTGAAAAGTCTAATTTGTTGCCCTCTGTGAACAACCACCATGAGGGTCATGTGAGGTCAGCCTAGGATTTCTCTAGAACATGGTTTTTTTACACCGCAGGCTATCTTTTCCACGAGTAGTAAGAAGAGTGCTGTTTTCTCACTAGAAACTTTCTTTGACTTGGCCTGTGATTTATCTCTGCTGCTATTTGGTTGTGTTTCTAGCCCTGGGAATATTTTAGAGAGTTCTGAATGTCACCTATAATTGGTGCCATTTTAAAATGCTAGAAAAGCACCCAGCATTGTACATGTCCTGATATTGGAAAGACTTCTGCCAAATACACAGACTGCCTTCATTTATTCAACAAATATTTGTTGAGTGGGTACCAAGTGTCAGGCCCTGTTTGAGTCTTGGGGTATCGGTCGCAGACAAATGGTCAAGAAACCTCGTCCTCATAAAACTTATGTTTGAGTAGAATAGACAGAGGTAGGGGAGGCAGAAAATAAATGAATAAGTAACAGACTATAGTACTTTGGATGGTAAAAAGTGCAATGAAAACAAAAAGCAAAAAAGGATGAGGGTATTCTGAGGGGATGGAAACAGAAATTTTATATAGAGTAGTCGGCAAAGGTCTCTCTGAGTAAGCGACATTTAAACAAAGGAGGGAAAGAGTTGTACCATGTAAAGGAGCGTTATGGGCAGAAGGAAGAACAAGTACAAGGCCCCGAGGCAGTAGCAAGCCTGTAGTATTCCAGAACAGTCAGGAGACCATTGCATTGTGGCTAGACAGGAAGGAGCCAGGGGTGTAATGGCAGGAGACCAAGCTGGAGGGTGAGGGAAGGGTCAGAGCCTATGGTCCATCTACCAGGCTCTTTCTGAGCGAGTGAGAGCCACTGTCGAGGCTGAGAGTTATGAATGTTGGGGCAAGAGGCTAAGCCGTGAACATGCAGAACCCCATCTCTGTAATTTGAAATGAATTAGGAAACAGTAGCCAAAACCAGTTTCTATATAACTAGAATCTTTGATTTTGATTTTTCACAGATTTTTTAAAGTAATTATGAGAATACTCCTTATTTTATAACTATCAAAAAATACAGGCACAAGACTGTCCTATATTTAGTATCTATTTCTAGACAACCGCAGTTACTTATTTAATTTTTTAATTTCATTTTGGGTAAACTATCTAGAGATGATCCATCTGTGATCAATATTTCTGATGAAATGTCAAAGACTGCCTTGTGGAGGAACCTTCTGATGACTGCCGATAACTCAAAAGATAAGGAGTCAAGCTTTCCTTCTAAAAGGTTTGAATTCCAAAGTAATGTGAATTTATACTGACCCCAGTCATTTTATGACATAAGAATCCGTTAGCAAAAGAATAGTATTGGTTTCCATTGAATTTAGGTCTAATATATTTCAGAAAGTTCTTTTAAAAGTAGGTGGAAATTGTAATTGGCACATCCGTTGGTTTGTTTTTCAACATCTCCCTTTCAAATTAAAAGCTCATTCCAAAACTATGACAATGGGGAGAAACAGTGCTATAAATGAGTCCTGATGCATGGTATTTTTGGACATTCATTTGGCCTACTCTTTTGCAGTAAGATTCCATTATATTCCCTCATCACCCACTTTCCAGGACCCTCTTAGATGTCTGATCACATTTTGCACTCCCCCATTGTCCTTTCTGAAACCTCATATGCACAAGCAATGGTGATTTCGTATTTAGTGTATTTCCAGGTCCCTATTCCAACCCCCTGAAAATCTTCCCTAACTTCCTTATTCTGAAACTTTCAGCTCCAGAAAGTTCTATGCATTCTTATTTCTCTGCATACAAACATTACAAACAACTCCCATAGTTGCTAAGTTTTAAATGCATGCTGGGGGAAGAGTGTGTCCTTAAATATAAAGAGTCATCACAGGATTCCATTGAATTTTCCAGAATTTATAAATAAGAGTTCAAACCATCCAGTCTTCTTAGATGCTGATCTGAAGAAAAATCTCTATGTTATGCTAATAGCTCTTCTTATCAAAGAGTGATTGAGGGATTTGGGACAGTGTTTAGTTATTAACTTCCTTTATTTTCATGACCTTAAATTAACTTTTTCTACTTAATTTTTATATTACATTTTTGTCATAAGCTCCCCTTCCTAATCACTCTAGAAGCTGATTCCCCAAAGGTAAGACCCTCTCCCTCAAACCTATTCCTTGGTTGTATTTCCTTATGTTAAATGGTGTCTTCTAGAAACCTGGTCAGCCTATGTTCTCTGTGTGAGTTTTGGGGAGGCAAAAGGCATGGAGAGTCTTGGGCTCAGATTCAGTATTGGACTGAGTATTTATGGTATTCCTATAACTACTCAGCTCTTTAAGAAGGTTTGAAGCTTGAGTGAACTTTTTTCTCCACATGACTTGTATAAATGCATCATATATGAATCAACAAATCTCACAGAACTGTATTAGTAATGACATCAAATTTCTATATTGGAAAAAAGAAAATTTTATCCTTTGAATTAAGAAATTGCAAGGCTGGGAGCTTCCATTTATGCACCACATGCTTTCAAACCTGTAAGCTTTATCTGGCTTCATGAGAAATGTTTGGAAACATGGGCTCGGAAAAGATGCTACATTAGACTTACAGACTATCTCTTGTTGCTGGTTTTTGTCACCCCAAAATGGCATGCTGCTTCTGTGTCATCTCTATCCCAAAAAGACAAACACTGGATGTGCAGAGTCTTCATCCCAGAAAGCTGGGGATTAGTCATCTCTCTCTCTCTCTTTCTCTCCTCCCCTCCCCACAACTACCTCTAACACACCAGAGGTTAATATAATTTACACAGTCGGCTCCCTCAAAGACTTCTGATTGATGTTTTCTGTCTTTAACATGGCTTTAAAATCTTCATGCATTTCTTTGCTTGGCTCAAGCAGAAGTAATATCTTGTTCTAAAACATGCTTTATCTTCCTTTCCCAAAGATCTCTGCTACAGTCTGATAGAGTCATCCTCACAGTAACTGTTTTGGTAGAAGTCTTGGAAGAAAATCAGAGTTATGAGAAGGGTAATTGCTCAAACGCATTGGAATATGTGCTTGTGGACTCTTTCACATTAAAAATATGGCATTTCTCTGATTTTTTTTTTAAAAAATGGGAACTCCAGGTTTATGAGCCCAAAATAAAATGCCAGCCATGGGAATATGTGGAAAATTTGAGGCAACTGAACTTACAGATTACTTTTCTTCCTGCACTAAATGGATCCAGAGTACAAACACTTTCTCTGTTTTTCTTTGGTTCAAGCAAAAAATTTTATGTCATGGTATTTTAGGTACTCCTTAAAGTAAAGGCAAGTGAAGCTTTTCATCAGAAAAACCTAGCTGTTTTAAAACAACTTAATGGGCTTTAATCAGGTCCAGTTTTAATTAGGACCATCCTTTATATTTTGATATAACCACTTGTTTCTTATTCTTTGAACATATGTTACCACTAACACGAGATTCAAACTATTGTGAATGGAAGTTTACCCTTAGATGTGATAAAATCTGTAGCTTTCCATGTGAAAATATCTCTTGGTTCATGGCTAATGTCTCTTATCTTCCTAACAGTAGAAACTGGCAGAAACAGTGTGGCTTCCAGAAATCCTAAAACCACCCATACCATTGACAATACCCTCCCAAAGCCATTGCTTTCTCATGGTGTGTCTGTCGAAGGCATCGAAGTGTGATGACCAGGAACTCTAAAAATTCTGTGCCTGCTAGAGTATCTGTTGGAAACAAAACAAACAAACAAAAAAACCAAAAACCTAGAGACCAAGGTTACCGGGGTCTATATCTCTTGAGACCTAAGCTAGCTTCCTGACAGTTTTTGACCCCCCACCCACCCCGTTCTTCATCCTGACCCTTGTTATTGGTCCTGCATATGCCTATCAGAGTAACAGAGAAGCCTAGATATTTTTCCTTAGTGGAGTTTGGAATAGCAGTTGTATTTTCTCCATCATTTCATTCACTTCTCATTGCTAAAAATGTTTTATCCAGTCTGACTGAAAGAAGGATCTAAGAAGCTAATTGCAAATTTGACCACATTGGTAGGATGTCTAATTTGATCCTTATTCAACAGTGCAATGCATACATGTGACAAGCTTCTCTGTGGCTTATTGAATTGGATTGGCAGAAATAGGTCTCATTAAAACCACATTGCATCAGAATAGGTGAGCAACTGCTATGTTTTATAAAACTGACACCCAAGATGGACATTTCTTGGGAAGGTAGCCTGCAGCATTGGGAAAAACAGCACTTGATTTTGCCCTGGTGGCAGAGGTTAGGCTCTGGGGCCACCTTCTCTGCTCCCCTCTGGCTACCCACTCCCACCACCTTCTTATATCCCGGATTCTCCTTCTTTGCCCTGATTCCCTAGGCCTATGCCCTCTCATGACTGGTAAATGTTGTTCATAACAACTATTTTGGAGTGTTCGAAACATAACAGTTTCATAGATCGCTTGGCAGCATGAAGGTAGCGGGTCATGTTCTGCTCTCTCCTGAAATATTATTTCCTTCTATTTTAAATTATAACTCCTCAAAGGGTGGGGCGCTGTCTCATCTACCTTGTATCCCTTGGTCTTTGCAGAGTACCTAGCATACAACAGATAGGTAATATATGTCTATTGCAGTTGATATCACAGATATGATACATATTTAATAAGTATAAGTAATATGTTTATTACAGTGAAAGTTTAGAATTGATTGGAATCCTGAAAAATGAATGTAACAAGGAATAAAGAGAGTAATAGCCATACAGTAAGAAGATAGGTTCAAGTCAATAGGATTTTTCATAGACGTCCTGGTTATAAAATTTCTGCTTCGTAGTTTGTTGAAATCTAATCTGATACACAAACCACTGGTTTTAAAGAGGGGGAAAACCCCCCGAACGTTTCACTGGTTATTGTTTTGTAACCAAACAACCAGTATGACCAAAGCAGGACATCGGGAGGAAGCACACCTGTGAGTTAAGTCAACACTCTGAATCCTGTCACTGCTTGGTGACTAATAGTGCCATTGGGAATGTGCTGGTCTCTAAAAGGGTGGTGGAGCAGAGCATCATGCACACAGGAACTGGGCCTGTGTCGAGAGACCTGTATGTCTCCGTCCCTGCCATCTCCTACAGAGACGATCTTTTATTCTAGCTTCCTTGCAACTGAGAATACCAGCCTCAGAATTCTGGCATTCGAGCTACAGGAGAATTTAGGGACCATATAGTCCAAAACTAATATACAGATGAGGAAACCAAGTTCAGAGAGATCAAATAACGAGTCCAAGGTCCCACAGTTGATCCTGGGCTTCCAGGAACTGAACGTAACTTTCCGGTTTCCAGTCCAGGCTTCCTCCACTGCCCCCACGCTGCCCTTTTCCACTGGCTTTGTGTGGGAGCCAGGTAAAGCCCAAGAAAAAGTTAATTTGGAAAGTAGGGTAGCAGACACTTGTCATATGAAATGCACTTAAAGTAGAAGAAAGTGAGTCATGCAGATAGGGTAGTTAAAAATACAGAGTTAAGGCTCTCAACACATCATGTGCACACTGTCATCTCTTCTTGTGGAAGAAGGAAAGGAAAGGGAGAAAAGTTGCTTTGGTCTGACCTGTAAGTAGTGTGTGCTGAGAAGTGTGGCAGGCGTACAAGCGGGTGCCATAGCACCCGCTCACACCAGCTCTCAGCGCTGGCGGCCTGCCACACACGGCAGAAGCTCCGGCACTTCTTACCTGATGGTGCCGGGTGGCGGTGACAACTGAGAAGGGCTGTTTCTAGCTTGAATTGGAGGAAAAACAATTTTAAAAACACACTCATAGAATGTGTCTGAGTTATTGACCACTAAGAAAGCTGTGCAGAAGGCTGCATAGAGAAAAAAAAAAAGAAGAAGAAGAAGAAGGTTTTAACTGTCACTTTATTACTTTGAGAAGAGTTATAAAACTGAGGGTTTCCCCACCACCAACTAGTTCATAGATTTATATTAAGGGACAAAGTTACCAGTAAAAACGGGTGGGCTCTTCCGACTCAGGGCCCCAGGTGACAGGGAGGGCCGCAGGTGTGGGGGGCTCTGCCCCGTGCTGGGAGTCGCTGGGGAGTGAGCACTTCTGCCCCTCTGGAAGCACGTATTTATTCTTGCTGGGAACTTTCCGCTTGTGAGCACATTATTCAAATTTTCCATGAAAACTGTCAACACGAGAGTAGGAAAAGTGTTCATTGGACAAATATCGGAAAAAAGCATAGACAAAAATTGTAGAATCTTATTACCAGCTTGCCCAGCCCATAAGGTTCACTGGAGAACAGACAAGACAGAAGTCACTTGGGAATGAGCTGGTTCTGGAAGGAATGAGGTGAGCGCCAGGACGAGGGCTGGTCTGCACAGGTGTTTGGAGGGCGGTGTGTGGGGCTGAGCACATCCCCTAGACCAGCGGAGATGTCTCTGTCCTGCTGACCACAACACGGTGCTCACCAAAGATCAGGACCCAGTGTGTGCACAAAAGACAAGCGACTCGCAGCGAGCCCTGAGATACCTCCCGTGGCATCTTGTAGTGTTATCGGGGTCAGTGCTTTCTTAAGATGGGGGCAGCGCCGGCATTTTCAGCAACCATCAGTAATTCCTTTGGCCAAATGAGGACGATGGTATCAATCTTGCATGCTTTTGGAACTGTTTTAAAATGTCTGGTTTTTGTTTTTTAGTTCTTATTTTTCGAATGTCCCCCTTTCTGCAGTTTTTGGTTTCTACCTCACTGAGGGCAGAGGATTTTAATTGTTGCTATCTATCTATGCTTCGCAGCATGAAAGAGCCATGCTAAGGGCCCATGTGGTGCTTTGGGGTTGATGGGTTTTGTGTCTGGGCAAGCAGATCTCACAGTAGCTGTGCGGGATTGCAGTAATAAATTTCTCCTTTTTCCCCCCCACCGTAGCACTGAAAGCCGAAAAGAGAAGAAAGCTGACTCAGGGAAAGGTGTTGACAGGGAGACTTGTCTATGACTTGATCTTCGATTTATTTTTTACATATATATGAGAAGAGTGCCACAATTATTAATAAAACTGCTTTGATCATGTATTGTAAATTCTGTCTCTCATCCCAAATCCACCTTCATACTGTAAGTAGTGCAATACTTGTTTCATTTCTGTGTTTAAACTTCTGAACAGTGAGACACCCTTGTGAGCATATACAATAGCTAATGCAAGAATCTGTGTTCCTTTCTGTATGTTAGACATTTGTAAACACTGGATTCTCATGGTTAGTTTTATGAGAGCAATAGCTTTCTTAAAGAGATGTCACATTTACCTAGTTTGTATTTTCCTACTTTAGTGACCTGAAGCTACCTGATAATTTCATTCAGAAGAATTTTGAAAGGTAGTCTTACTCCTTTTTATTTTTTATAGCTTAGCATTAGTGACTTATTTCAAGACCCAAATCGAAAAGTTAGTTTGGAAGCATTTTTTAATAATTGTATTTATGCATTTCCTTGATTTATTATGATACATTTAATACTTAAGAGTTTATATGTAACTAAAACTTAAAGTCATTTGGAAAAAATATATAGAAACCCGTTCACAACTTGTTTAGAAGAATCAGAAACTAATGCAGAGTCAAGTAGTGTGCTTAACAATTCAAGTTGTGATTACACCATCAAACACTAGGCTTGTAGGAAATGCTTCAGGAAAACTTTGTAAGTTTTGTGAGATTTTCAATATAAACCTTTATCAGAAATATGCCATTAAATTTATCTCCCATTAAAAACAAATGTTTTCCAAATAAACCTATTCTACACACACCCGTGGAAGGCCACATGGTGAGTCCTTGTACATGAAATTTCACTCCTGTATAGTTATTCATTCTGCTACTAACGGTCGCATACTGCTTAATGCTGCTTCTGAATCATGTTCTACTGTTAGGCTGACAGGTCTCCAACTATATTTTTCTCTTCTGCAAAGCTCTTTTCCACTTTTTAATTGAATGCATGTTGTAGAAAAATAGTCTTTTCAATGAATATTTCAGATTCTGTTCGAGAAGATTCTGTAGGCATTTCAGTCCACATGAAAGAATCCATTTTTACTAAGCTTGCACAAGAGGAAGGAAAGTTAAAAATTGTTGAGCATTACTAAAAATACAGTATTTCATTTCATTTTAGATAGTGTGAAGTTAATAAAGATGGAATCTTGTAGTGCTCTTATTTCCTAGGAATGACCAGTGATCATCAATCTTATGATCTGCGGTGTCCAATTTTATGATAATTCAGAGCCCCGTGGCTTTTCCAAACTATTAATTACATATTTTCTGTATAAGTGCACATGAAAGGTGAAAAAAAAAAATCCTCTTGTGATCAAGCTTATGAGGGAAATAAAAAAACCCAACAAAGCCTCCATAAGACTCAACATTTTGCTATTTCTGAAAACTCCCCTCACAATCTTTTAAGGAGCCATTTCTTTTATAGAATGTAAACCTAAAAACTATAAGCATAATTTGCAGTTAATACAGTCTGTGTTTATAAATGCCAAGGAAAATACAGAAACTTTCCATTCCAAGTGTGTCGCCTTTGTGTGTTTTATAATACAGATACCATATTGTAAACATTCCCATTGTTGTATGATTTAGACTAGCTGTACATGCCAGTCAGTCCCAAAAGCAGCCTCCTAGTGTTTTAATTATTAATAACTGTTCTGTTACAAATGATCATAGTGAGTTAAAACCTTCACATGATCACTTATTTGAATAAGCAATCATACCCAATGAAATTCTGTATTTCTGAGTATTTTTATAGTCATTTTGTTCTTGTGTGAATTTTAATGCTATCTCTATGTTAATCCTGATATTTTGAAATCATATAAAATATAAGAAAAAAATGTAGTGTTATATATTTCCTCCTAATTTCAGATTCCTGGTCAAAATTACTGAATATCTTGAATGTAATTTATTGCAAAGTTCAAGTAATGTGTAAATGTGACTAGGATATTGTGTTTTTCACAACTAAGAAATGTTATGTGGAAATAAATATTTATCCTAATTAATTTCCTTGCACATTTTAAATTGTGATGCAAAGTGTCTTGTCTTTTTTCTCCTTTAGTGTTAATCAGTAAATCAATGTAGAACATTTTGACTGAACATAATATTTGAATTTAAACACCCCTGCTAAGAAAATTTGGTATTGTAGGCATTTCAAGAGTATTCAGACAATTTGAACTTTATGAAAAGAATATTATGGAAACTATAGTAGGATAGGTCTCTTCATTTTTCCAGAAAGCAGTGACTTGGGTGCAAATGGCATTGCTCCCAAGACTAGTAAAATCGTCCAAGGTCATTAGTAGGATTTCCCATAAGTAGAACTCCTTAGACTTCTGTTTTCAGCCCCACCCCACCCCCCACCCACCATGGGAAAAGCATTTCCTAAAATTTCTCTCCTCCTTTTTTGTAACTATGGGTCACACGGGACCATTATTCTTTTGTAGCCATCTGGCAGTATGTTGTGGAGGTAATTACATTCAGAACTCTAATGTACAGGTTAGTATTTTTCTTTTGACTCGTGAGTTTACTTTATAATTCCTACCATTTAACAGCCTTTGATATTGGGAAGTTTTTTCCTAAATTTAATCTGAATATCTCCTTCGTATAGTTTAAATCCACAGCTTAATAGAAACCCTCCACTGACAATTCACAAGCCACTTGTATTTCAACACTATCCCTAGATCTTTTAGGGTTTTTCTTGGCTCTTAAAAGTGTGGCTCATTCTTTCTTTCTTCTTTCTTTCTTTGTCTTTCTTTCTTTCTTTCTTTTTCTTTCTTTCTTTCTTCTTTCTTTCTTCTTTCTTCTTTCCTTCTTTCTTTCTTTTCTTTCTTTCTTCTTTCTTTTCTTTCTTTCTTTCTTTCTTTCTTCTTTCTTTCTTTCTTTCTTTCTTTCTTTCTTTCTTTCTTTCTTCCTTCTTTTCTTCCTTTCTTTTTTTTTTCTAACTGCATTACTCTACCTCTATTCCTTTTTAACTTTAGCTGTTCACTCCTGGTCATTTGACTATTTTATGATTATGTCAAGATTGCAACCCAAATGTTCTAATAAGTATCTTGTATATTCATTCATTGAAATGAAATGAGATTTACAAGCACTTGAAAATTTGATGAGAGTAATTTGGATATGACGGTTCTCTAAATATCTATTTGGAAAGGTTATTTGCAATCAGTTCCCTTGAAGAAGCCCGATATTCAAGGATTACTGGTAATACTTGATTTTCCAGATCTCCTGGGGTGTTTTCCTCAGAAAGCTGCAGTTTACTGTTAGAACCGTCACTCCGCTTCAGTTCTATTGGTGTATGGGCCACTACTTTTTGAGCTGGAATGTTGAAAATAGAACTGTGCTCCTTGCTTTTAAGGTCCTTGCTTCTAAGGCTAAGTAGACACATAGCTGTAACACAATGTGATAATGTGATATGTACTGAGTTGGCTGTATAATGAAAGCAGGGCGGAGTTTGAGGAAAATGTTATATAAGAGGTAGCATGTGAATTAGGATGGAAGTGGGGAAGGAAACCTACTCCAAGAGCTGCAAAAATTCTCAAACACATGCCAGTATTGAAATAAAAATGCAATAAAAAAGTAAAGATATATGGTGTAACTGGAGCCTGACATATTTGATGTATGGCATGTTTGGAACCAAGGAAACAGCCCAGTGTGGTGGGAGTGTTGGGAGAGCAGTGAAGACCTATAAGAAAAGGTAGAAATACAAGTTGATCATAGTATAAATTATGTTAAATTCTATCTTAAGATATTTGAACTTTATCCATTAAAAGTTTTGAGTAATGGAGAGGCATGAATTTTTGGAAAGAGTAGTCTAGCAGCACAGTGGAGAATCTAGTGGGGAAAAGGTGGAATCATTTCCTTGGGGATCCTGTACCAGGATGACTCTGAGGCTCAAACCAAACTCTCGTGAGTGGTCTATAAACTTTTATTGCGATTGAAACCAAATAGGCTTAAGCATGCTCCTTAGGTACTTAAGTAACTCCAGACACAATAGTATTATTATAAATCATTTCATGTAGAACAAGATGGATAGATAGATGATAGATCGATGGATGGATGGATGGATAGATATAGGTATATATAGAGATATAAATGATACGTCTTGGGTTGTATTTGAAAAAAATGTTCTGAAAAGCATGGTATCAACAGTAATCCTGAGACTATTCAAGAAATCTAAGTGTAGTACAAAATTCAGCCAATGGCAGCGCGTATGGATCCAGAAACCACCTTCCCCCACTCACCTTTTCGCCCCATTCATCTCATCGTTCTTACCATAGACTTAGCTTTGTGTCTAGGTACTCTTGCCTTCTGCTGTGTGTAGTGAGAGATTTCTGCCATGTGACTTATTTCTTCCATTTGTTTATAAGCTTCTTAAAGATAGAAATAGTGTTTTATCCCTTCTTTGTAATTCTCCAGAGCCTAGGGCTCGGCTCTTTATCCAGCTGGGAAAGGCTGTGGACAGAACCCTAAGTAAAATAGATCACAAGATCCTGCTGTTCAGGTTATTAAGAATGATGAAAGATCCAAAAAGGATTCTCACTGGCATGTCAGTATGGAAAGAAAAGCAGATGTTTATCGAGCACCTTCATGTGCCCAGCATCTGGAGGTAGATGCAGACACCTAAGGTTGGGACCTGAGTATACTGTGGAGTCATCAATGGAGTCATCAAACCAGGATAAAAAGCTAAAGCTGTGAATAGGGGGAGGGAAAGGGAGAGAGGAAGCTGCCGGGCATGGATACGATGCCAGCCGAGGATATACACAAATCTTCACAGCAATGGCACAATTCTGTGAAGTAGGTGCTTTTGTGCTTCTTTCAAATTAAGAAACTGAGGCTCAAAGAGGCTAAGTAATGTTCTTTAAAATGTTTCTTACGATGAGTGGTGACGCTGAGATTCTAACCCACGTCCCCCTTATCTAGGGTGCAGTGCACTGAGTTTCCAACAGGAGGCGAAGTGTGACTGGCTTCCTCCTTAACAGGCCCCTCATTCTGGGTCACGCAACCAGAATCAAGTTACGATGAATAATATTTCTTCCCAGGATGTTTCTTTGTGACTCATATTTCTGTGATCAAGATCGGAAACCCGACTTAGCCAAGGAAATACTGTGCTCACAAGTCACAAGTATCATGACTTTGGATGGGAGAGGCTTCATGAAATAATCAGGGTTTTGGTCATTTGATGGGTCACTCTTCTCACCAAATATGTGTTTTAAATAATCTGACAAACTTGGTATGAATTGTTCAGATGAAAGATTATGAACTTAATTGAGTTGGTTGAAATTAAAAGTCTGTAACACTGGAAAAGATACTCCTCTTGCTTTAGCAGTAAGGAAATGACCTTTTTATTAATTCAAATTCTCAAGTACGAATGTTAATATTGTCACAGAAAGGTGACATACAGGAAGATGATAAGTTTCCACTGAGCACCTTCTGATGGGCTCTGAGCTTTTCTGATAGGCAGTGACGTTATGCTTTATTACTCATGTTCATCTCTCATTCTCAATCGCCTGGATCCCTCAGCCATCCTGAATACACACGTCAGATCATTCAGGATGTACATAAGAAGGTTCTCAGACACTGCTGGAAGAATTGTCACAAAATTGGCAGAACAAAATTCTCTTTCTCTATGAAAAAAGCCATCCTGGTGTTTTGGTGTTTTTCATTTAGAACTTACTGAATCTTATTGTACAAATCTAGTTTTATAAATTGGAATTCTCACATCAACTTAGAGCAAAATGCCATGTAGTAGAACTGGTAGCTTCAGTGACCACCTTGTGAATAAGAACGAAAAGACCCAGAATGACACACAGCCTGAGGTGACCGTTGATTTTTATGGTGGTGGCTTTGAGTCATTGAGTCAGGATGCACTGAATTATGTTCTATGCCTTCTGTTTAAGGAAACATGGAGGTATGGAATTATTTTTAGCAAGATTTCCAGCAAACGTGTTCAAAAATAATTTTTAGTGATTTTCTAAAAATCTTGAGCAAAACTTAAACTCTGTATTCACAGAAGAGATGTGAACATCGCTCCTTTGGCGTGTGCTCGCCCCAGGCACGGCGCGCTCCCACAGGTTGTGTCTGATAGGAATCTTAGCATCCCTGTGCTTGCTGAGGCTGCAGCTGTCAATGGCAGGCAAGTCTGCCCCTCTGAGTGCTAGGATTAGTCCCTGTGTGAAGTTTCCAGCTTAGCCTCAGACTAAGTTTCTCTCAAAGTTGTTAATGTCTTTACCTTCCTTTTCCAATCAGCCAACTGCAAACTCTTATTGGAGAGTAAAACGTGTCCTGTGAGGGTTGAATGAAATCTACTTTAACTTCAATCACATCATTACCATTTGTAACCCTCATTATGTGAAAAATATGTGCTAGCATTTTTTTTTTTTTTTTTACCTCTGGGCTCCAGAGAAAACATGTTTAGAAACTGAAGGAACAATGAATTGTATGGTTTTGATATTGTACAACTGTTGTACAATATCAGATATTATGTGATGGTCTTAATATCTGTGTAGTATCTGATGCTGTGCAATATCCACTATTGTACAATGGTCTTACTGATATCTGTGAAATATCTGCTATTGGGCAATATCTGATATCATTAACATCTGATATTGCCAAATGGTTTTAATATCTGTACGGCATCTGATATTGCACAATATCTGGTTCCAATTAAAATAAAAGAAGAATTTCTATTTAATTTGCTCTTATGACTATTAATTCGGTCCAGGATGTGGACATATGATCTATGACTACTTTTCTGGATATATAACTCTGCAAAGATCGGTCCAGTTACTTACAATGATTGAACTCTATTAAGAAATAGAATTATTACAAGAGCCCTACAGGTTTGCAGGTCAATTTATAGCTCTAATGGATGAGTGGGATTTGGGATGTAAGGTAAGCTACTCAGTGGCATGCTCCCAAAGTACAATCGAAGCTGAATTTCACAACCCTCTGTCCATTCCTATGCATGACTCACCAGTCTTATGTTGAATTGATATTTTTTCCATTTCTTCTATTTTTAGATTTTTATGCTG